TTTAAAACGATATGTACAGTCTTTAACCCAATGCCAAGACCCGCAACGATAGCATGGACTGGGTAGTAGTTTTTTTTTATGTTGATTATAATTAGAAAATTTTGTTTTACCTGTTCGTTAGGTGGGAAAATCGGTTCGGTTTGTTTGTGAGGAGGGAAAATTTGTTTGCCTTCGTACTTTGCGTACGTGTGCTATGCCAGCTTGTTCTATGTCTTTTGGGTCTTTCTTCACACTGATGCATCTCTGGCAGTCTTGGGATAGTTTTTTGAAGTGTCAGATCTTGTTCACTCTCCAATTTAGTAAGTATTCTGCGTCTCATTTCCGTGTCTTTGGTTGAAACCAGGCCTTGGACGTAAATTAAGCATTTGAAATTGTCCGCGCTGAGTTCCGATAATTTGAAGTCGTCACAATATTTGTTTACAATGGATGCGAACGTTATGTAATCTTCGCTGTCCTTTTTTGTAAGGTTCAAACATTTCCATCTTTTATGGAATAGTGAAGTATTATGGCTGAAAAGTTCCGTTAGCAGTTTTATGGATTCTTTGAACGTTAACTCGCTTGTTTTTCTGGGAAGGATATTATCTACGAATTTGTTATATTCGCCCGTGCCTAATTTTCTTAGTAATAGGCGTACTTTACGTGCGTCTGACCAATCTTTGCAGTCAAAATAATATAGATCTTCGTATTTTCGGAAGTAATTTGCAAAAGTTTTATCTTCGTCGGGTGCGTACTTGAAATCTTCGATATTACTCCAAATAGCGTCTTGTGAGAGAACTGTTTCGTTCTCGAATTTTTGCTTCTTATTTGTCATTGCACGTAACAATAATTTTGCAATTCCAGATGTTTCTGTTCGTACCTTTGTTGCTGTTCAAATTGGATTTTGATAAGTTCCATAATGGTTGATTTAAAATCTTCCATGTTAACGTATTTTTTTTTTTTTTTTTACCTGATATTCTGTTTTTTTGTCGCCACGTTAAAAAAAGAAAAAAAAAAAAAGGTATTTCCTTTGTTGTTTCTGTGAATATTTGATATAAAAAAAAAATATTTTAGTTGGTTTTTTTTTTTTAGAATTTTTTTTGTATTTACTTTTTTTAGGTTTTCCGGTTCGTCGCCACTTGTTATACGTGACGGATAGCAAAAAAGATATTTCCTCCGCGTAGAGAGTTGGTTTCTTCGTCGCAACAGGTTTGTTATACTGTAGTCTCGACTAAACGAAATTTTTTTTAATTTCCACCGAATGAATTCGAATCTTCGTCGCCACTTGTTATGGTCCGGTTCCTTGTACCACGGTGATAGTCCAAGGTAGAACCAATAAAGAAGAACTCGAACACAGGTATGGAATAACACAGATATATTACAAACAGGAATATATACAGAGAAGTAGAAAGTTGTTAGTATGAACAATCAGGTTTAGTAGAGAGAACAATGTAGTCTCGACCAGTATCACTATTCCAATGTCTTGCAGTAATTGTCTGAACGCGACTCTGTTTCGGGACTGCCTCGGGAAGAGACTTGAACTTGAACTGTTCAGACTTGAACGACTTTCCTACCCTGAGGTGCAGTATTTATTAAGTATGGAATAGTCCATTATTATTATTATGGGTAAGATCCCATGGTTTTCGTGTAATACTTTTAGCCCTTTTCCCTCTAATATAATTAAAAAATAAACTAGCAAAATAAAAAAAAACCCAACAAAGTAACAATGTAATAAAACAAAATAACAAGTAGCAACCTAATAAATCATGATTTTAACAACATTTACTTCATTAAAATAAATTTATTTCTGTTTATAATTATTTTTTACAATAAATTAAATGAATTAAAATCTTTTATTAATAAATAAAATTCCTTGGAATGTTTTCAACAAAGCTAAATAAAAACTTAAAATAACCAGTACTAGTAATTATCATTTAGTCCAGATTACAGACAAAATATTACTAAAACAAAAATCATTTATTCATTCAAATTAAAAATAAAAACGAAGGAAAATGTCTAGAATCATAAAAAGGTTTCTAATTCTTTTTTATTAGTAAGCATTGCTTATACCTCTGAAATTTTTTTTTTTTTTTTATATCAACTTTGGATCTGATCCCAGATATTTGTTGTGATCAGAGTGACTTCACTTCCTGTATCCACTTGTATTGGAAATGGATTGCCATTTAATTTTATTTTTTCAAAAAAATTCTTTTAGGTTTTTGTATTGAAAAAAACGTCATTAATTCTCTTTTTCCACTTTTTATATACTATCTATTTTATTTTTAACTTTACATACAGGCTGAAAATGATTTTTTCTTTGGCAGTTATGGCAAATTTTTTCAAAAGCAGGGCACATTTTTTCTGTCAATTTCATTCTCATAATTACAGTATTGGCATTTCTTACATTCCTTTTTTAATACTGTATGTTTTTTACATTGTCGTCAGTAGACTTATATTTTTTATTAACTCTTGTATAACTTTCAAACATGCAGTTAGAGACAAATTATTGAATTGTAATTGTTCCAATATCTTATATTTATGAAATGTATCAGCCATACCTTCAATCAACTGTAATTGAATTGATTCATCCTCAATAATCAAATTTTGAGTTCCAAGTTTCTTAAATTCTCAGAATCTGATAGCTTCTCTTAATCTTTGAAGAAATTGCATAATTGATGCCTCATGCTTCTGTTTAATTTGGTTCTTTCCACTATGACAAGTTTCCTTTTAGGTTGTAAACTTCTTTTTGTAATTTCTGAAATTTTGATTGGGGTATACCATAACAGAAATTTTCATTATAGCTTCACAACCTGCTGAAGGTGGTGCCATATTGCTGTATTGTGTCTTGATATACTTGATATCTCTTCTACTTAACATATGCAAATAGGTACAATCCTATTTACCAATCCACTACATTTAGTAAATGAGCTCAGGTATTTGTATGACAATGACTTCAAAAAGTACAAGTCAAGCAATACAATTTTAGAGATACTCTTCATAAACTGAGTTTCTTGTCTCCTTTGACTAAAATTCTTAAACTCAAAAAACTTTCCCTGGATTATCCCTACAACTTTAATTGCAAATGAAAGAAGTTTCTTAACTTTGGGCAGAATTTGATCATTCTTAAGATGCACAATGGTTCAAGAATGGCTATCTTAACTGGCTTGCATTTTTGTCAAGGAACAGTTACTTATTGATTTAGAATTAAAAATAAATTACATGACAAGATATTTATGGAATTTGCTATAAACCAAAACACCTGGAATTCATGTTTGAATGAAATAAGAGTTTATATCTAATGAAATTTTACTTTTAATGTAGTGAAGTGCTTATTCCCTGTAAACGACACTAAATAGTTGTACTTATTACAGATCACCATATTTTTGTTTGTTAAATAAATATAAATAAACTAGAAATGATGTAAGAGAGCCAACATATTCAAAATCATGAAGTCAACCATTTCAAATCATTTGCACAAATTGTCAATGTTAAATGAAAGGCAGATAAATTGTCAAATCTGGGAAATGAGGTTCTTTATTTTGAAAAACATTTTCCAGATAAAGGGAAATAATCATTTTGGTCTTCACGGAATACGTAACCTCGGTGCATGTACACGCAGACAGATTTCTTCAATTGTAATTAAATGTTTAAATTCTACTGAATATGGTATCCTAAATTGTATGGATACTAAATTTTGTTAAATTTTTTTTTTGTTCATCCTGAGTAACACTGATGAACTACAGTTGCTATTGTAGTTAGGAATGGAGATCATTAATTTATATTTTTATATAATTAAAAATGTTAGATTTTTCTTAGTATAAATTTTTGTAAATAAATTGTACATTTACATAAAGACTAATTACAATTTAAATATTTTGCCACTTAAATATTTAAAACAAAAGTTCACATGCACCAAAATAATATTCTTCAAAGAAAAAAAAGAAAAAATAAGATTTCAGGCAGCAATATTTCACCAGCAATATTTAATAGTGCCATTTCAAACTTATAAAATCAGGTTTTGTGGCAGTACAGTGGAGTAATGGATAGCAGCTTAGATTGAGGAATTGGAAAGTTCCAATTCCAGTCGAGTTTGTTATATTCACTTATGTGCAAATACAGTTGAGAAAAGTATGAATCCATCTCTTTTCCTCCCACCTGTGGGTAAATAGGAGGACAGACAGACTGAGCCTTGGGTAGCAACTGACCTAGGATAACATCGAATTTAAAACCAACTATGGGTTAAATACCCTCACAAACCCGCAATTGGCCAAGCATGGTTTGTACAACTACATCTCTGAGTGAAGGCATAGTCAGTCAGGGAGAGATTCCTCCAACAGGAGTGAGAAGGCCTTGGATTTGGATCTGGTGCACTTTTAGTAGCCCTGGGAAGAATAAAACCACACCAGTTTCTTTAGAAATTGAATGCTGGCTTTTATACTGTCCTTAACTAAAAGTAATTTACTATATTTTGATGAATTAATTAAAAATTACTCTGTGATGATAGCTTTAGTAGATTACTTGAAAGATGAAATTTATGAAATTAAAGTTCAGTTCTTGAGGGTCACCAGATGATTAGTAAGCTAGACCATTTTCTAGTATCTTGAGATTGATTCTCACATGGTGCCCTGTTCTTATGCTCTTGTGTGAAACTGGGCTAAATTAAGGAAATATATAAGACATGCTTTGTAGATGAGATAGTTGCATATTTCTCACCAGTGTTAGTAGTCAGTGTTCCAGATCAGGTAGAAAGTACAATGTTGAACCTTCTGACTAGCATATCACAATCTTCCTACTCCTATTTCATATTAAACTAAACTGAGCCTCATAAATAGCAGTTTATTCAACAAGTGGCCATAAGAGTGGCTTTAAACAAAATATTTTTGTGATGGGATTAAAAATAATTTGGATTATTGCAATTATTGGTTTGTTGCAATTGCTGGTGAGAAACTTAGAAATTGCTGAGTGGATGAGGCATTTAAAGAGAGTACAGGAATTAAAGAAAAGTACCTTGGGAAAGGTCTTACCTTGCGTATAGCAATATTGTCACCAGGGTTTGAAGTTGGCTCAATCTCAACTCGAGACACCAGTCCTTCAAGCTGTTCTCTAATGTCTCTTGCTCGTTTCATTGATCGATATTGAATAAAGTTATTATAACACCACTGTGTAGAATATTCAGTTTCAGCCCACTGCAAAAAAACATTTGATAAAATTAAAATCTAACAATGAAACAAGAAGTCAAATAATGAGGAAGTGTAAAAATGACCAGTATAAAAATATGAGCAAATTTTACCTGATTGTAGATGTTGAGTAAAGTTAGGTGGTCACCTCCTTGGACAAAGAAGTTTTGGCGAGCTGTGTCTGCATGGACAATCTTGTCCTTAGGTCGATAGAAGATAGCATTGTTCACAGACAACATGGCTGTGATAGTGAGGATCTCTTCAGAGCACTTGAACCTAAAAATCATAAGAGTAATTTATTAGTGAAGCAACAAAAATTAAAAATCAATGTTGCCTTAAGAAGAATATGTTTTGGAATGATTTCATCCAATTTGGGTGCTTAACTTAAGAATGATTATCAACAAGTTCATCTCACAGACCATTGCTTGTGCAGTTGTGACACTGAAGGCATGAAGTGGTTAATGTTAAGTATAAGCTGGGAGGCTATGAAGTGGTTAATATGGAGCATAAGTTGGAAGATAGAGAGAGCAAGAGATAAAAGCAATTTCCCTGCTGATGAGAAGTGAAAAGAGGTCATCTGGGTTGTCTCACTCTTACAAATAAACTCTTGGTAAATCATTCCAGATGCACCAAAAGTTCTTTTTTATCTATCAAGAATCTAATTTTATCTTTTCCTTGAGAATTTAAGAAAAGAAATATTGTTAATGAGGAGAGGGTTATATTTTCATAGACGAAAATGAATTGGGAAATAATTTTATCTCTCATTTGGAAGGTTAAATAAGAACAAACTTTTCTTATGTGTTGAATGTATGATTAAGATGGAAGTTAGGAAAAAAAGTCCTGTCATTTGAGGGCAAAAGAGTGGTTTGGTTTATATGTTTGCTGGACAGAGATAAATCCAGGGAAATAGAAAGGAACCAGAGAATTAAAATCAATGACTAGAATAAAACTCCACCCTTTCACCTACACACTTTAAAAATTAGATTTATCACAAAGACAGTTATGCCTGCCCTGGGAAGTAAGCTGAAGTTGAATGATAAGGTAGGAGGAAGAAGGAGAATTTAGCACCACCTGTATGGAGTGATGGTATGAGATGTAAAGTGAAGCAAGTTGAGGAGAGGAGTGACTTCTCCCAATGAAAGTAGATAATTCTCCAAATTTGGAAAGTTGATTAAGAAAGCAGAAATAGGCGACAAAGAACCATTGTTGGAAATTGGGGAATCACTGAATCCTCAGAACACGACAGCCCCACGCTGGTTTTGAGCTGGAATGCATATAAGCAGATAGCTTTGAGAGCTTGAGGACTGGTGTGATGAATTCCTATACTAGTGCCTCTGGAATCCACATCAACTGCCACCAGATCCTGACTCCGAAGAACTTTGAACCCAACTTCCCGAGAATTTTTGATGAGGCCCAGTGACATTGATACAGGAAGGGTCAATTTTTGTTGTACCAAGAACTACATAAACCAATTGAAGATTGTAGATTAAATAAGTCTACTGCTTTCCCAACAGTCACTTGTACAAATCACAATATCGCTGGTTCAATTCACCATCCTCGCTTTCTTCACATGTCACTACGTATAGCCAACGTTTCTCCCTTTCTTTCACGGCTCCAGCACTCTTTTATCAGGCCAACACTATGGTTCCCCAGACAATCAGCATTCTTCGCTGTTATTCTCGGTTACACAGGCAAATTGCCTCCTCCAGTTCGACCAATCAGCACACGACTTGATAGTGGTGGAAGCATTCCAAACTATACAAAAAACCCTCATCCTTGCACATACTGCTAGAATGGCTGGACGGGAGAGTAATGCCATTTTCACGAAGCAAACTTGCTGATGTCACATGCCACACGTTAAGGTAAGACCCTTATTTTCCTATACACCAGATGCAAGCCACTCTGGCTCGCTTGCTTCTACGAGGCTGTTCACCACACATGATCACAAAAACATAGTCGCGAGCAGGTCGTTTTTGCCGGGTACTTCATCGAGGGAGTGGAGCAACACAAGCTTCATCTTCAGATGAACTGTCATCAGGTGACTTAGCAGGATGTACCACATTAGTATTTTGGACGCTAATAGTTGGGGAGTTGTCTTCCCCATTTGTGTTGTCTATAACAGATTCAGTATCAAGCTTTAGTGATCAGTGTCTCCTAATGGGGTTGATCTCAAATTTACTAACTGCTCCTCTCTTCAGAATCGCTGTCCTGTGTATCTGTCGGGACTGTTCCATAAAAGGGACATAAGTCCTTCACATGACGTGGAACTCCATCAATGTGCACTGACTGTGGGCTATTAACCTGAGTCACGTGACCCATTCTAAGTTTAGTTGTGCACCTCCCATGTGGAGTTTTCACCCAAACGACGTCTTCCACTTCATATGCTCCTTGAATATTCTGCGATTCAATGGGGGACATAGCCTCGATGCCCCATACATGGGTATGGGGCCTATAAAGTGCATCAGCTGGTGCAGTGCTAGGCGAATGATTATCTTTAGGTGTAACGTTATACCAGTTAACCGCCTCCGGTATAGAGCACTGCTTTCTAGCTGCAATGGTTTTGATGCTTTGGTGACTTCTTTCTACTATACCATTCCCGGCAGGTGCATAGGCACACCGGAACCGCACACACCAATTACTCAAAAAATTCTTGAAATGTTTGCACGTGAATGCTGTGTCATTGTCTGTCAATATCTCGAGTAGTGGACCCTGTTCATAAAAAATTGCATCTAACTGCTGAACTACGTTAATAGAATCTTGTTGACATAGTGGATTCCATATTGCAAACCGAGAAGGCCCACGATCAATAATTGTCAGAAAGTGCTTACCACCATGGTGAGTGATGTCCATTGCTAACCTATTCCAGTTGTCCCTCACGTTCAGCTTTCCTTTTCGCCAATGCACTGGAGCCGGGTCAATGGTTTGGCACGCCTCACATTCCTTGACAACGGCTTTTACCACTTCTGACGATACTGAAGGGTCTATCAACCTAACAAAGTACAGGGTCTTTTTCATGCCTGGGTGTCCAGTTTTTCGGTGGACATTAGCCACTTGGTGTGCGTCCACCTTGGTCGTTGCAGTGACGCATACTGAATGCACTGGTTCCGTTTCCTCCTTGTGTAGGTTTAACCACTTTTTTGGCACCCTGGTCAGCCGGTCTGCCAGATTCATGTTGGATTTGACCAGTATTATGTCCATCGTCAAGCCATATTCATTTCATAAAGTGTGTTTAGCTGTCTCCACACTAACATTTCCCCAGACGCCTTCGTATTTATTCGAGCCTTGCCAGTTAAGGTGTTTGAAATCCACTGATGAACACATGCTGAATCAGTAAAAAGACGTATAGTTGACACTTGTCATTGAAGAGCCAAATTTACACCCTTTATCGTTGTGTCTAGCTTGGCCAAATTGATGTGCTTAGCATCTCCAACCGGGTGTCCACGATGCATCCTCAATAACGTTTCCATCTACCTCTAATACGACACCTGTGGCTACGGAACTTGCATCCACCCATACGTTCATTTTGCGGCTACTCACACACCAGTCTCCTCCTACTGGATCGGCCTCGCGTATTCTGGCTATGATGTCGGTTAACATGCAATTAATAGAGACATTCTCGACTTCGTCATCCCATCCTGTGGTTAGCGCGCTTGCTTGTCGTTTCACAAATGCAGTGGCCACTCGTAGCCAGCCGCAAACGGTAAAGTGGCCCACAAGTTTTCCACATAACGAGAATATGCGCCGGCAAGTTATCCTCACAGGGATATTGGGGATTTCTCCACCTCGCCTCCATCGGAAAGTTCCATTGTCACTCCAGACCTGTAAGCCCAGCACCTTAGCTCCGTCTTCTAATCTCGTTGGTTCCTTGCACACTAGTCCGTACTTGGACAGGAGCTCTCTCATACGTGCGGCAGGAATTAGACTCTCGTTGACATAAATGTCATCAACATATGCCGATGTGGCATTCGCAATGGTTTTGTCTTGCGATAATACTGCGTCAATTATGGCTTTCATAATGAGAGGTGCCACATTTAAACTGAAACCCAGTCAAGTGAGGCAATATCTTTGCACATTCACTATGACAGTTTGATAGGGCCACAGCACCTTCTCCACATGTATCTGCAGATATGCCCTCCACAAGTCCAACAAAGATACATCGACCCCCAATCGTCGCCATTCTCACAACTTATGTGCACAAACCTCTGAGTTAGCAGTATATGGTTCTACAAAACCATTCAACTCGCGGTAATCCAGTACTGGACGGACGTTCTGCTTGCTCTCTTGTATCACTGCCATGAATGGGATTAGACACTTTGGTGGACCAACTTCAACTTCGGGGTATGGTATCCATTATCCAGCCAGGACTGCAGTTCCCTTTCATATTCGTCCCGTGCATAGTCAGCTACTGAATATTCTGCCACTCTATTTTTCAGGGTGGTAGGCGGTTTTCCATTGGCCCACTTCCATGAGGCTGTCCATACTTTGTTATGGTGGTTGAACTTCACACTAAAGTCGGGTTCAATGATAGAAATAGCAGCACATTGGGGCTTACTTTCTTCTTCAGAAAATTGGACTTCTCCCGAGGAATTGATGTGCACTCCTCCTAATTCTTTAATTGCGTCAATCCCAAGAAGAAGATCGAACCCAAGTAGTGGTCCGTCCACAATTAGGGCATCAATGTACACGGGTTGAGCACGACTAACATTCAACGCAATATTGCCCTGTCCATGGCGTTTTAGTGCCTTACCGTCGGCAGTTAGGATTTGCATGCGCATTTGCTCACCAACGTCCGTGAGCACCCAGAATCAACCAGGGCCATGCACTTCTTTCCGTCTACGGCCACCTCAATGATAGGTAGCGCCGTGTTGCTTGGAAAAAGACCAGGGCGTTGGCGTCTGTTCCCGGGTCCATTTCCCTGGCACTCTGAGGAAATGTGCCCAACCTTTTGCACTGAAAAACACCATATCCCGCGGGATCTTCGGTCTGGGTAGCTGTCTTCTCCGAGTAGCCTTGCCTGCAATCCTTTGCCAGGTGGTTGGGACCAAAACATTTAAAGCACACAATGCTGCCCGTCCGTTGAGCTGCTATATCCGTTTGTTGAGCTGCTGTGGCAACTGACTCATCTGGCTCTTTGCTATCGGTCATAACGGCCCGAGCGCGAGTCACGATCTGGTCCAACGTCATAGTGTCCATTCTGGATGATGCACGGAGAAGTTGTTTGTCAACCAACAAAGCTAGCCATTTCAGCTCTGCTAAAAATTCGTCTACCGTTTCCCCTGGCCGAAATTGTTGTGACACAAACTTATCATACGCAATGAATGAATTCACCGCATATGCAGTTATAAGGGCCTGTTTAATCTGCTCTGGATCTGACCTCTGCTCCTTTGTCAGTTGCCGATATACAGAGAGAGCCCTGGCTCGCAAATGCAGTGGCAATACCCGCTCGACTTTCTTCATCTCGCAAAGTTCACAAACCAACTCCACATTTTCAATCCATTCTACAATTGGTAGATTGGTAGCGGCTCCACTGAATTCAGGTATCAGCCTGATATCGAAACTTCTGTCCACCATGATTAGAGAAAATGCCGAAATAGCTTGTAGATTAAATAAGTCTATTGCTCTCCCAACAGTCACTTGTACAAATCACAATATCGCTGGTTCAATTCACCGTCCTCACTTTCTTCCCACATCACTACGTATAGCCAATGTTTCTCCCTTTCTTTCACGGCTCCAGCACTCTTTTATCAGGCCAACACCGTGGTTCCCCAGCCAATCAGCGTTCTTCGCTGTTATTCTCAGTTACACAGGCAAATTGCCTCCTCCAGTTTGACCAATCAGCACATGACTTGCTAGTGGTGAAAGCATTCCAAACTATACAAAAAACCCTCATCCTTGCACATACTGCTAGAATGGCTGGACGGGAGAGTAATGCCATTTTCACGAAGCAAACTTACTGATGTCATGTGCCGCACGTCAAGGTAAGACCCTTATTTTCCTATACACCAGATGCAAGCCACTCTGGCTCGCTTGCTTCTACGGGGCTGTTCACCACAAAGATTAACCTTAATGATTCTTGTTTTTGAAGATATTTTTTTCCCTTAATATAGCTTCCACCATGGCTCAACCTAGTGCTTTGTTTACTATGACATGTTACCTTTCAATGCTCTGAGATCAAGAACACAACGTTGGCAGAGTGGGTATGGATCGAAGTGGTTAGCAACCAACAGCCAGCTTGGTCCAGTGTCAATATTGACCAGTGCAGAGTTAGCCCTGTGGTTAAACATTGTCCTAAGATCCTGAGGACCAGACTGCTAAATGTGGTTACACCATCGGATGTAGGCGGCGTGAAGAGGGGCTATACAGTAAGTTTGATTCTCAGTAATGCTAGTGTAGCTTAGTGTTGGACTAAGCTATGATTAGTAAATATCTGTTTTCATTGTAAGAAAATCTGATTATTGGTGATAAAAAATAGGCTTGTTAAAAACACTTCTGAAAACATTTAAAAGGAGTATTAGAAATAGAGCGCTATTAGGGTAAAATCCGATTTAAAAAAGATTGAACGGTCCAAGAAAAAATATTTTCTTTCTCTGGAACAGAGTAAATGTTTCAGCAATTAAATTCTTTAGCATAAATTTGTTTGTCTTCTGAATCATATTTACTAATGCTAATTTATTTGGGTTAACATTTAAAGAAGGTTAACCTATTGTGTCTGAGAAAGGCTTCAATAAGCCAACCTAATAGATATTGGGGCAAGAAATTTAAATGACTGCTTAGTTATGTCTTATGTGTTTGTTTTGTCTTTGGACTGGTTTGGATTGTAATATTTTATTTCAAAGCTTCAACATAAATAACAGTAAATATTTCTCACTTGTTCTTTTAGAACATTCTCATAAGGAAGCAACTGTTTTGTTTTTTAAAAATCCATTAAAGAAAATATGTTAAATTCTTAACTTACTTTTCTGAGGCCAAAATCATTTTGGATAGCATTGGGTCAACAGGGAATTCAGCCATTCTTCGTCCCAACTTGGTAAGCTCACCCTTGTGGTTGAGGGCCCCAAGTGCATAAAGTTGTTCCAGAGCCAGCACAAGAGTCTCATGTGGAGGGGGATCCATAAAATCAAAATGTATCAAATCATTAATCCCCAAACTTTTTAGTAACAACACAACATTGCCCAGATTTGTTCGTTGAATCTGCAACACAAAATCATAACAAATATTTTCTTTCAATTTATATTTTTTACACAATGTCAAATGATTGGGAAACAACAAAAACATGAGGAAATGCTTAAATTTAGGATCAGTGTATAAAATCAAAGGAAGGGAAATAATTCATGTTAACTTTCATGCTTATTTTAATTGTTTAACACAAGTATAATAATGGTAGTTTGTTTGACCAAGACACTAAACATAATGATGAGATAATAAAAAATGTCATCATATATGTTAGGTTACAATAACCTAGTTATGTTATCTAGTGTTTACAGCCAGTTTATATAAAGAATTGCAGAAAGTGATCAAATATTTTGTTTTTAAAGTTCAAGGTGAGAATGTAAAAATTGAGAAGAAACTTCCATTTTTTTCATTGTCAATATTTTTTTATATAAAAAAAAACAAAAAACCACTGTATATCATAGCATCACGAATCTAACCCTGCAAAATAATTTTGATTAAAATTCAAAGTGGTCATTGTTTTATTCAATAAATTTGGATTCATATTAAAATAATAAAACATAGTTTTAATCTTGTTTTGTATTAATTAAAAGAAACACTTATTGAATATTGATCAATGGTTAGCTAGCTTGCCTTGTACATCATTGTTACTGTAGGGAGTCCAACCCTCATGTGTGTCCCACACTTGTGGTTTAGTGTGAGAGTAAGTTTAGCTTAATATTTTGGATGCTTGCAATAGTGTGATCATTAGCAAACTCATCTTATAGACCAATTTGTTAGTGTGGAGAGTTTGATTCTTACTAGTTGCCCCAGACCTGTGGCCTATAATTTCAGATTGACAATTTTTTTTAAATACTAAAATGAGTTTATGAATTGACTTTTCTAAATGAACTTATTCTCAATACAAGTGAAATATCAGAGAATAGCTCACATACATTTCAACAAAATAAAAATGCCCACCTTATTTTAAAATCTGTTTTAATCTCAAAAATAAATGAGTAAAATAAAACAATTATATTTCCTCAAAATCACCCTACTCACTTCTGGAATGCTGTTGTCTTCCAATTCATTCTTATAAGCCCAAGCCGTGTAAAGACGAAAGCATTTCCCTGCAGCAACACGACCAGCACGTCCTGCTCTCTGATTGGCTGAAGCCTAGAGGAAAAATGGTTTATTAGGGACAAATATATCAAAACAGCTGATAAATTCATGGGATTGGGGGGGTGTTATAAAACTAAAAGAAAAAGCAAATATAATTACTTTTTGCTGTATTATATATATAGTTAAATCTGAGTTATTTTAGTGAATAGTGTGTGTGTGTGTGTGTGTGTGTGTGTTACCTTTCCTCTGACCCTTACTCTAAACCACAACTTTGATGTAATGCACAAAATGATTTTTAAAGCAAAATTATAAAAAAAAAAAGTTCGCGTGAAATATAGTTCATAATTTGCAACAATTTCTCATTTTTCAATCACTTTTTTTAGATATTGATAAAAGAAAAAGTCTGGTTTAATGCAAAAAAAAAAATAGTTGATCAAAGCATTTTTCTTTATGCACCTCCCACCACCACCCATAAAACCAATAGGGTAGATATCTTAAAAGAAAGTCAGGAGAATAAGTCCTTGATACTAATTTATACTTTATAATTTAAGAGATGCGCAGAGTTAATTTACGACATTAGTTTTGATGACACAGGTTGGAGGCAGGCAAAGCTCCCTTTCAGTTTTGGAGGCCTGGGCTTTCAATCAGTGGCAGACTTGGCTCTACCAGCATATCTTTCTTCACTCTTCCAGTCATGAATTAATTGATGAGATACTCAGTGGATCGTCTCAATGTTTTTCGGGTAGTGTTTTTCGAACAAGCATGCAGCAACTGGGTGCAAGAATTACTTTCTATCTCACAAGACACATCAAAACAGAAAAGCTGGGATAAAAATAAAATGCAAAGCGAATTTTACTAATTTGAGGCTCTCTCTGGATCAGCATCGCCTTGCCTCACCTACTATCTGCTTCACAGTGAGTAGTGATGCCTGGCTCAATGCAGTGCCCTTTTAGATGATGAGTACACTTGCATCTTGGGCTCAAATTATGAGAGTGTCACAGATGCAAAGCTTCCATTGATGAGTTTGGTTGGCATCCTCTCTCCTTTCATTGTAGTGCAGGCCACTTTCCAAGGCGTGCAGCAATAAACGACATCATCAGAAGAGGTGTGGATGCTTCTGAGTTATCCTCCCAAATTGAAACTGGAGGCCTCGATCGTGGTGATTGAAAGCGGCCAGATAGGATTACCATTTTCCCTTTTAATGTGGGAAAGTAGTTGATTTGAGATGCAACCAGTGCCGATACATTTTTGACTGGTAATTTGATCAGGTCAGCAATTGAGCTAGGGTCCGTCGCACAGGGCACAGAGATAAAAAAATAGTTAAATATTCTTCTCTTGCGTACAGATTTACTTTTACTCCAGTGGCAGTAGAGATTTCTCGGGTAATTGGCTCCTGTTTGATGGTGTTCCTTCGGAGGGTTGGCGGGACTGTGTCTTGTGAAATGGAGTGGCTCTTGCTGCATGTCTCACTGGTGATGGTTCAAGGTTATGCTTTCTTCATCATTGCAGCTGGCAGTGGATAACAACCCCCCCCAAAAAAAAAAAAAAAAAAAAAACCAACATTTTGTTTTTGTTTATAGATACTTTTTTCATATAACTGATTAGTTTTGCTTCATGAAGAAGAGATGATCACAAGGCAAGCCATCTTAGTTGTCTTTTCAAATTAGTTCTTCATATTGGAAGTTGAAGTGGGTCATTTTCTCTTCTGCTTCTTAAATTATGAATGATGTGTTTTGTTTAGAAAAGGTGAAGGATTTTAAATAAGAAAAATTCCTTGATATTATATGTTATCAAACATTATGTACAGAATATGTCTCATGTACATTATATACATAAGACATTTTATGAAAACTTAGTTAACAAATTGAAGTATTTTAAATAAATAACATTGAATAAATTTAAAACAAAAAAAATGTATGAATGAGTGCTAAAAGCTTTGGGGCCTGACTAAGTAGGGATAAGTAAATATTTTGATATGTGATCATTTGGTCAGCTTTTGGGAAGTGGGTTTGATTGAAAACTTTTCAGTACCCTCTCAGAGAAAATCCAAGTTGCTTTTTTTTGTTTGTTTGTCAAATATTGATTCTCTTTAAGCAAGTTTTCTTCCTTCTCTCTGGATTATAAAATATGGGTTAAAGAGCAGGGCAGACTAGGTCTTCTAGCTGTGATTGGTAACCAGTCTAGGATTAGGACAACTCTAAATTTAAAACCATATATAGCTCTGGCAAAGTGCATACTATACAGACATTAAAAAGATTTTGAAGTTCACAACTGTATTGCAGGGTTGCAGGTAATATGATACCAAATGAGGTTGAATAAAAAAAATATAAAAATAAAAAAGTACAAAATTTACACTGATCAAGAAATGGGGGACCAGTTTTAATTTGGTTATAATACAAAAATGATCCTCCACTTCATGTCTACATGAAATTCATTTTTTTTAATTGTGAATAATGAGCTTCTATTTTTGCAATTATAATTTTCCACTTTAGTCTAAAAATCTGACTGAGATGCCTTCAAATTCTGCATTTATTAATAAATAATGCAACAATAAAATATCTCTGAGAGGCACTCAGTTTTTGAAAATAGTAAAAAGGGAAATAAATATGCATTAGTGATTAATAATTGATTATGAATTTCTGCCATTTTGACTATTTAGGCTTAATCAGCAAAGCTATTTTGCACTTTTTGGAGTTACATTTTAAAAAAATGTTTACATACTACAGGCAGAGAAATTCACTGTCATTTATAATAGTTTGAAGATAATGTGAACAAACAGTAAAACTCACTTCTAACTTATCTTTTAATCACGATTAACTTCAAGCATGTTTTTTTCAGAGTTCCTTTCCTCCTTGCTACTATATAGAACTGTAGATAATTTATTACGACCAAGAAATAGTTGGGAGGGGGGAGTTTATAAGAATGTTTCAGTAGAAATTAATTATTTTTCATTCATACATTATTGTTTCTTAGTTCAGTAATGATTTTCCAACTTACTGTCACCTTTTATATCTGAAAAGAGAAAAACTTACTTTAGAAATTGGAGTGACAACCAAGGATTCCATTCCAGTACGTGCATTGTAACTTTTCTGCTTACAAAAGCCAGGATCAATAACATAAATAATGCCATCAATAGTCAGTGATGTCTCAGCAATGTTTGTAGCCAGAATAATCTGTCAGCAAAACAAACAAATACTTTAATATAGAGAAAATATTTCAAAGTTTAGATTTAATTTTAGTTAACTATTAATGATGGAAATAGCTGATACAAGTAAAATAACTTTGCTTACAAACCAAAACAGTTGAGTTTAGAAATTATTGGTGATGATCTAAATGTCCCCAGTTCTTTCCAGAGTTTCAATAGTGATTTGATTCACATGAATAGTATTTTACTAGCTTGATTTAATGATTCTTTCAAAGGCTGTGATGCAGTTGAATAAAGAAAAGAAATTAGCAACTAAAACGTAAAAACAAAATAATTCAGCTGGGAGAACAAAGGCTTGAAGGTTTTATAGTTATGTATCTTCTTACTATAAACGTTAGATTTAGTGGGTACATGTGTTTGAGTAGATACCCTGACTATTATACCTAATCAAATGTGTACCCACTAAATATAATATTTATAGTAATATAAAATAATGTCACATGAAAAATCAATTAATTGCTTAAAAATGAGTTTTGTATGAAACCTCTTTTCTAAAATAAATTTGCTTCAAATACACAAATAGGTATTAATATACAAAATAAATAAATCTATATAAACTCCTATTAAAAAGGTTGATAGGATTTAATTAAAACATTGTTATGCATTTTGTTATTTTAGTTGCAAACTGACAAATATTTTATGATAAACTTGTTATGCAAGGGAGATAATTACATTTATTGGTTATCGTGAGAAATTCATGCTTATTGATAAGTTGAACAGTTATGTAACTGCCGTGGATTTTACAAATAGATTCACTTACACCTAGTGACTGGTTGGAATGGATTCATTTTATATCCCTACCCAGAGATTGAACTATACCACCAAATTCACAAACCAACACTTTAATCCACTAGGCTTATTATCCCACATGTAGTACAGACCCAAACTCAGTAAAAACAGGACTAGCATTAACTGAGCAGTACTAAAAAAATAAGGTGTCACTAGCCATGGACATGAGAATGAGAACAATCTACACCACTCTCCTGCCCTTGTAGACAATGGGTTCAGTTCAAAATTTCCTGAAGGTTACATGGATTAGGGAACATCTGAAGAAGTCTGAAGTATACAACAGCTGAAACACTGTGATAATAGTACCAAAGATGAAGACATTAGTTTGAATCTAAATATTGGAAATAATTACTCAAATTTTCTCAATATTTTTAAGTGAGCAATTTTTTCTTTTTTAAAACTTTAACTATACAAATTGTTTCATGCATATCTCAAAACACAAAATTCAAATTGAGAATTAGAATGTTCTCAGTGAAAACTGATGAGAAGTGATTTTATCCTAAATTGTAGGAAAAGCAAAGGTGTTAAGAAGAAAAAAGCAATGTTTAACTGTTAAAAAAAACATTACAGAATAAAGCCTAATCATTTGTTACCTTTCTGGCACCTGGAGGTGTAGGCTGAAAGATTTTGGCTTGCATTTCTGATGGCAATGTAGAATAGACAGGCAAGATAATCAGCTCTTTGATCTTGGAACCAAGTTTACGTGTTCGTTCCTGAAAAACTCAGATTGAAAGAAATTGTTCAAAGAAATATTTTAAAGAAATGAAAATAGAACATTAAAACTTTCAATATGAAATCAATTTGTCCAAAAAAAGAAGAAATCCTAATAACACTGGAATATTTGAACCGATTAGACTTTATTTACCAAGAATTAGTTTCCAGAAAGATTTATATTTTACAAGGTTTGTTGAGTGACTTGTTATTGCATTTGATTGTTAATTGTGAGGTGTCCTTTTGGAAACTTTCAGCTAGATAATATCTTCCTTCTTTTTCTACATTTCTATTAATTAAACATAACTTAATCAAAATTTATATGAAGCTAAAATTATTTAATAACATATATACAAGGTAACCAAAAAAGTCCTTGCAGTTATTATTTATTAGAAAAAGAAGGTATACAGTATACATTAGTCCTCAAAGTAATCCCCACGAGCATCCAACACTTTTTATGAAAGCACCTCCAGCTGCACAATGCCCTGGCAGTAAAAATCAGGTGTCTAGAATGCAAGTCTGTGAGTGCCTGCTGCTAGTCTGCCTCATTTGTGAAGGATTTCCCACAAAGATGGTTGTCCAAGGAATGGAAGAGGTGGTAATCTGTTGGAGCAAGGTCTGGGGAGTATGGTGGATGGCACAATGTCTCCCAGTCAAGTTGGTGTATGGTATCTCTGGCCACCTGCACCACATGAGGCCTGACATTGTCATAGAGGAACAGTACACTTTTGCAATAAACCAATGCTGTCTTCTGCTTCAATGCCTATTGCACACATTTCAACTGCAGTGATTACAGGTCTGCTGTGATGGCTTGGCCCATTGGTATCAGCTCATAGAGCACCACTTGTTGACTAGTCCCTCAGATACAGAGCATGATCTTGTGTGGGTGTAGAAGTGGTCTTGTAGTATGAGACACAGGATCCTGTGGTGAAAACCAAGGTCTGGCAGGTTTGGGAGTATTATACAGGACTCACTTTTTGTCACTAGTGAGCACTCTATCAAATATGGATGTGTTGCGGTGCTGAGAAAGTAATGAGAAATCGGATGTCGCTTGTTGGCTTCCGACAGTGTACCCACTTGCTCAACTTGTATGCCCTCTCTATGCGGTGCAGGTGAAGTCTGTTTCATCAGAAACCTGGAAATGTTTGGCAAGCTCACCACAAGTTTGGCTGTTGTCCTCCTCTATGACCTCTTTCAGAGCTTCATCATCCAGCTCCTGTGGATGGCCACTGCATGGTTTATCACAAAGGACAGATCCCCAACCTGAACTTCTGGATCTCCAAAAGTTTAGAGTATTTGTAACTTGATGTGGCTGTGGACAATCCCACCTTAAAGTCATAAAGCAGACAATCCTCTCACCAATGCTCAAACTATGACTGGTGTGTGTGTGTGTGTGTGTAATGTACCTGTATTGGTTAAGAGCAATGCCCCCACCTCCACTGCTTTCCCAGTACATGACACACTCATTTGTGTAACAATGACATCTTCTTCCCACATAGCGTAAAAGCAGCAAGTACTTTTTTTCTTACCTTATAACTATAAAGGTTTTATATTCTGCAGAAAATATTAATGTTTAACTTTATCTGTTGTAGCTACATTGCAAATACATTCAATGTAAAAACTGCACAGATTTTGTAATGTCAGATAAACATAAAACAAACTGTATTTGTTGTATACATGTATAGTCTAATGGTTAATAACTGGGAAATTTAAATCAGTGAGCTGGGTTTGAATTCTAGCAGAGTTGATTACATTCACTTTCACACAAATACCATTGGGAAAACTATGAATCCATTTCTTCTTATCCTTGTTATGGGTTAAATAACAGGACTGACTGGGCTGTCTTGCCTTGAGGTGCAACCAGTCTAGGAAAAAGAAAACTGAATTCAAAACCCACCTGAAGAGGGATGGGCTCTGTTAAGCTATTTTACCCTAGATACACCACTGCTGTTGTGGTTACAGCACATGTCATGCCCTTATGACTATAATGGGTTATGGAACTTGTGTTGATCTCACACTCACTCAAGTCCTGTAGACTCCCTGAGGAATATGGTGCCACAGCTCTCATCATGCTAGCTGTTGCTGCTATGGTTTCCATAGAAAGTAGTCAATTTTTACAGGATGGAGTTGCTAGCCCTATGCCAAACTGGTTTTAAATTCAGTTGTTCTTAACCCAGTCTTTCCTAATATTTAATCCATAGCATAGCTGTAGGGAGAAGAGATGGATTGATACCTTTCCCAAGAGTATTTGTATGCAGATGAATGTAATGAACTCGACTGGAATTCAAACTTGACTCACTGCTTTCTCATTCCAAGTTGCTATCCATTACACTACCTGCATATCCACATTTGCTGGTTTATTTTTTTAAAACACTTACAATTAATACTATAACATAGAATGCAGTATATGCATTTCCTTTTAAACAAGGAAAGTGGCAAATACAGTAGATGTAATAAACTAAACAAAATATAAATATCACCTACAATATTTGTTGGTTCATACAACATGTTTTACAAGCATGCTTTAAAAAATGTTATTCAGTATAACATTATGGCTTTTGTTTAAAACATACACACACAATCTTATAGGCAGGGCCATGGCTGGGTCCCTGGGACAATAATGCCATCAAGACACCTTTATTTTCAACTTATCCCATTCACAATACCAATGTATTTGTTACAGTGTAATATCTGAATAATTTTTTTCCAGTGTAGAAGTGCTTTTTTTTATCAGTTAAAAAAATGCATAAAATGAACCAAAATAATATAAAAAAAAATATCTGCTTGAATATTTAATTGCATTAAATATTGTGAATTGACTGAAGAAGCAGTCAAAGCAAGTGAACATACCAGAAGTATTTCTTGTGCTGTTTCAATTTCTTCTTGTCCACTGAAGAAGACTAAAATATCTCCAATGGGTTGGGTGACATGAATTTGGAGAATAGTAACAATTGCAGCATCCAGATAATCAGCCTCTGGAGCCTAGAAATTAAATCCAAAAAGATTTTGAACAGAACGAGAAAACAAATTTTCAGATTAAAAAAAAAAAAAAAAAAAAAAAAATTAAAAGGATATTAAACGGGAAAGCTAGTAAAAACTTAATGAGTAAAGAAATAAATGTTCTTGTATTTGTCAAAATTTTAACGTCTAAAGGGAGATAACCCAATGTGATGGGATGAAAAGAATTATAGAATCTATTGGCATATGAATCATGCTTATTCAAAAATGTTGAGCTCGAGCCTTTAATACTAGTTTCCAATCTATAATACCAGTGTATTAGATAACAAAGATTTAACATAATACAAATTGAGATACAGCACTAAATTCTTTTAAAGTTATCAAAATTTAGAAAAGACTACATGTACAATGTAGTTTTAGAACCCTTAAAAATTAATTTTGTGATAATATTCATAGAATCAAATAAATTTTGAATTTCATAGGTTTGTTCCTTCAAAGATAATTCCCTTATAGCACAAAGCCTTTTTTAATGCCTCCTCCCAAGCATTGTCTAATGTCAGAATTAGAATTCACATACTTTTCTTTTAGTAAAGTACATTTTATATGCTGCATAATACAATAAATGAAAGAATTTCAGATTTTCCTTTAAGGTTGATCATTAGAATTGTGAAAAATTCACAAAACGTTTTGATGATCAATGTACATAAAATATAGGGAAAATATTACAATTGTCAATTAATGCCATAAAAACACAGTAAGTAACAAAATTAGACTTTAATTAGAAAGGAATAATAAAAAATATCCATGAGAAGAATTAGCTGAGATACAAGTATCAGAAAGGATATGGGATTTCTAAATGAAAAATACAAGACAAAATGGATATTTCAGTTACAAAAGAATTGTTTCTTAATTGAAAAAATATTTAAAATAATTTCAATCATTCAATTTGAACAAAGTTTTTTTTAAACATTCAGATGTCTTGTACAATCTTGAATCTAAAAAGCAAAATGAAACAAAACACATCTAAAGAAGTCAATAAACTGCATCCATACAACATTGTGATTTCAGTGAACTTACTTTTGTGTAAAAAATGTCCACCGGAAATCGCCTTCCTGGAATTCGGAAAATGGGAGCATCATCAAAGAACTGAAACAAACAAAACAGATGTGTCAGGTCTTCTAAATTTGGACAGTTATTTACTTTCTGAGGTTTGTCAACTCTTGTGTGTCATCTTGATAAAGGCATCAATATCTTCTTGATATCAAATCTTTGTATATGAATAAATAAAACCAGATGAAAACTTATTTATAGAAATGCCAAGAATTTATTTTGGCAAAGAAATAGAAAAAATTGTTTTATAACTTGGTTATAAAAGAAAATGAATCACACCATTTGTTAATATTGATTACTTGCAAATAAATGCTTAGTTACCTTCTTACTTTCTAAGCAAAATTGGATAAGATTTCTTATATATAAATAAATGGATGTTGCAGCCATGTAAAACTATGCAATATATATTGAATTAAGAAAATGCAAAGTGAAAATAAAATGGGGATTAATTTTTATTTATAAATATACAAACTGATCATTAATTTCTGTGGCATGAGATTTTATTATACAACTCAAAATTTGTTTATCATATTGTAAACAATAATAGTATAATAAAGTTAGCGACATTTTTTCCCTATCAGACATAAGTATTGCCATGAAAAATACAGCCTCAAAATAGAAACAAAATTGTGAAGTCATTGAATGATAGGAACAGAACTTTGAAAATTGCAAAATGAAGAGAAATGAAGGAAAAAACAAAAAGAATAAAAAATTGGCAAGAGCAAGAAAAAATTGTTTTTTTAAAGAATGTCACAGAAAAGGGATTTGAGAAAAATTAAAAGAGTAATAAGAAAGAAAAATTGATTGAAAGCAAGAAAATATTTTAAGAAGCTAGTGTTTCAAATGTTAACAAATGAGAAAAATAGTGAAGAATATTAAAAACATTAGTTACAGATATGGATGTGACCAAACTACCACTTTTAAATAAACATCACAAAGTAAAATATGTAGGTTGGGTGAAGATGTACATGAAAACTAATTTATCAACATTAGTTTATTCTGTTGAATGTAGATGAATATAATGACTGATAGGTTGGGTCTTTCATAGAAATAGTCAACAAACAAAATAATGAGTAATGTTCTTGTTTAGTATTATAAACTTACAGAATTGAAGATGGTATTAAGATAGATGCAGGAATTATTGTCAATTCTTGGACAACACATTTTTTTGAGAGATATAAGTCATAGTTAAGAAACTTTAAGCTACATTCTGCAAAACCCACCTTACCAAAATGGTCTCAAAGACATCTAATGAATGAACTGCCCTCCCCATGTCTGTAGATATTAATCCAATTGAAAACCTGTAGTCCATCATTAAAAAAGATGCATATGAGAATGGAAAACAATATTTGAGCAAAGATTTATGGGGTGTAATAAAAAATTGCAGCAAGTAATGTTAAATTTGAAACAGCAGAAAAGTTAACAGAATCAATGGTTGAAAGACTGAAAAAGGTTATATAATCTCAAAGAACCTATATTAAAAAGTAATAGTTTCCTCAAGTATGAAATATTGTTTTAATCAACTAAATGTTTTAATGATCTATATCTTTTGAATTTATTGCCAAATAAAAATTTATGCGAAATTGTGTCTGTATAATAAAAAAAAAAAAAAAAAAAATAATAATAAAAGTTAATATCTTAATCAAGGAAGATATTATAAACTGAAACTCACATAATATTTTGATCATATAAATATATTCTGGAAATTTTACCAACATGTGTTGGTTAATATCAATTTATTGTGAAAACATTGTCTTGCATAATAAAATCTGACATTTTGTAAATATTGGTTACCCTATCTAACAGTAACTTTTGTAAAGTTGCCATCATCTTTCTAGTCATGTTTGATGGACAAAATATTAAACAAGAACAAGTTTTTTTTTTTTTAAGTCTCATTAAAAAGGCATCACAGAATTTCATTGTTCCTGACAGAAACTTTAATCATACAAAAAACCAAGCACTAAAACATCCACTCAATCATTAACAATTATTAATAGAAATAAACTAACCTCTGAAAATTTTTGGGCATCAAGGGTGGCACTTGAAATAAGAAGTTTCAAATCAGGCCTGAAACGAGCAACATCTTTAACCAAACCAAACAAGATGTCTGTATGAAGAGTTCGCTCATGAGCTTCATCTACAATTATTACACTGAAAGAGAAAGCAAATAAATATGTCTTTGTAAAAAGGAAATATCTCAGGTGTTAAGAAATTTCTGTAGGAAGGAAATCAAGGTTTCAGAGAAGCAAGAAAATAAAGGAACTCTGTCTTGTGTTCTTTCTGCCTTGTCTTTTAGTTTTCTTATTTCTACACAGCTTGGGAAATATGTGTGTGTGTGTGTGTGTGTGTGTGTATATAGGTACAAATAAGTTTACGAATTCCTCGTAGTAAGACAGTATATGTATGGAGGGAAATATACGCACGCATATATACACGCATGCTGACAGAAACGCACCAAAATGGAAATAGATCCAAGAGCACATAGGGGTCAGTAAAACATTAAAAGATAAAATGCCGATAACTAATTTATCATTTTGCTGGACCAACCTTAACTGTTTTATGACCCTTCGCGCAGAACTCTTCATTGCCAATCCAAGAAGGAAATTCGGATTGCCAACACACAAACAGAGAATGTCTCATATCGAGAATATTTAACATTGAACATGAGGAAAAATGAATTATTTTTAATAATATGTGGAAATCTCCACTTTTACCTGTAGACGGTCACGAGACCAGAAACACGTGTCGTAAAATTATGTAAAACAAAGTATAATATTTTTTCTAAATAAATCCACATTACAACCAAAAACGTTTGCGGCCCCTCTCTTCTCTTCTTTTTAATATACATACTTTTCTCTCGTTGGAACCACTACACTATATTTCTTTTATATATATATATATATATATATGTATATATATATGTATGAAGAAATATAGTTTTAAGGTGTGCTATATTTACGGGATGAAGTGCTCAATATCAGAGACAGAGCGTATGTAAATATAAATATAAAAGTGAACATTGACGTCAACACTCAGAGGCAACAGGCTGTTTCATGCTAGACACAATCGTCAGGCCGTGAGTGTTGGATATTTCCTTGGCTATTGACATATATGGGTCAGTGGTGCATTGTGGGTAATCCATTCTGGCGGTTATTAGAAAAAGGAGTGGCTTGTTTATTTATTTATTTTGATTAATTTATTTTACTTGTTTTTTATATATTTATTTATTCTTTTCGGTTTTCTATGTTTTATTAGCATAGTAAAAAAATTGGGGGGGGAATTTGCTTAGCTCGCTTATTATATTTATATATGTTTATTTTTATTAGTTCTAATGGTTATTTTAGCTGGAGCGATTTGTTACTTGTTCATGAACAGCATCTCCAACACCTTCAGATGGAATAACAAGTGTGCTCTGGCCAGAACAGAGAACCAGCTCACACTAAAATCCATAGCACAGGTCAGATTATTTATCAAGTGATCCGCTATAGAACACCCATACACAAAGAATGGTATCACCAAACAAAAAATTTTTTAAGTATTTTAGCAGGCACGTGCTGTTTAATCCTAACATTCAAACGCTGTGTTGTTCTACCTATGTAGTCGAGTCCACAACTACATTTAAAATAATAAATAACGGAATTAATATAGTGTGTGTGTGTGTGTGTTGGGGGGGGTAGAATATCTTTACACACAGATGAAAGGACAGACTTGGTTTGAAAAACAACACGAACGTTGGCTGCATAGTAACACTCATGGGAATGAAATGAAATCCGCTTGGTGAAGGACTCTCTAATCCTACCCAAACACAGTAAATGAAGATAGACCGGACATTTACCAGCCATAGCAAGTTTAATTTTATTAAACCTGGCAGTCTTATCCCAAATAACCAATTGAACAATATCCAACGGATAACCATTGTTCCCAAGGATACTAGTTAAACAAATAATTTCATCTTTCAGGGTGTTATCTGAACAGATCATTAATGCCCTATGGGTCAAAGTCCTAATCAAATTAAGCTTTTATTGTTTAGGACAAAAAGAGTCCCATCTAGTATAGAGACCCATAAAAGTACACTTCCTATACACTGAAGTAATAAACAAGGAAGGTGTTCTGTGAATGACATCTAAGAAGGGCAATGAACCATTGACTTCCTTATCTACTGTAAATTTAAGGGCAGGATGTAGAGTAGAGAGAAAAATTGATCAACTTCCGATTCATGGTTAAACAAACAAAAAGTATCATCTACATAATGAAAGTAAACCTTGGGCCAGGAAGAACCTAAAGGAAGGCTTTCCTCATGAAATCCCACAAAAATATTCACCAAAACAGGACACCATCAATCTGACGATACCTGATATTATTAAAACTAAAATTGACAGACATGGTGGCAAATTACATAAGTTCAACAAAAACATCTTCAGGTATAGTCGGAGGGGTTAAATTACTACGATATAACAAATCACTACAAATATCAATAGTCTCTGATAAAAGAACACAAGTGACGAGGCTGCAAATGTCAAACGAACACAAAGACAATCTATCTGTACAAAAAGTAATATCTGCAAAATATATTTGAATAATTTTTTTTAAAATTAATAAAAACAATCTTATTGAATAGTTTAAGAAGTTACTTAGCCCAATATCAACATTTTAGAGGTCATGGAGCATTAGGATTGTCTTTAATTATAATCTTTCTCGGAAAACCTGCATATACGTAGAAAAAAAAACTCTAAACTTGGCAGGGTCATACCTTCTAAAGTAGAATTAAAACCCTCACAAAATTTTTTGGTGAACTTGAGTAGGCATTGTAGATGTTAGGCAAAAAATATGACAATTGAAGAGGATGTATTTTCAACAGATTGACCGTAAGCTACATAGGTGAAAAGTTGTTGATTTTGGGGTCATGTATTTGGGTGAGCAAAATAAAATTTTCTATCAAGTGTAGGCTTGAAATAGTTAAATATTTATATTCTACACATCTTATTTGCCCTACATTTCAGAAATATTGAAGGTATGGAAGTATTTTTCTTTAATTTTTAAAAAACACTGAAATTCGGCGACATTGTGTGGCCTTAATTTAGAGGTAAAATAGTAAAATTATACACCCCACCCCCTTAAAAGTGGAATGGTAAAGTCTAGCACAAAATAATTTGGCACACTTTCCTAACTCATGAAGGGGGAACATTTGTGCCAAATTTCAAGTAATTCAGTGTCAGTGGGTGTAATGCTCTGTTTCATTGACATGGAATGACCCATGTATTTCATTAAATAATATAGACAAGTGTTGTCTATTTATTTTATGTAAATTCTTTTCATGACGTCTGATAAGCTTAATAACATTATCATTAAACGAAGAAAGAAAATCACAATATTGATACATATTTTTTAATTCAATCTAAGCTTTCGGCTTACATAAAAGAAAAAAATCTGATTCTAATCACCGATTTCAGTTTGACATACACCACAGTATTTTACTTACTGGAAATAGTAAATTTAATCCTTTAGCTCTCAAAGCTAAAATGAAAGCCTCAAGAAAGCTTTTAAAATTCGTTTTAAAGCTTAGGTATCATGAATTAGTGGAGGAACCTAAATAAAAGCCAAATAACTTTTAATATATTTCATCATTTTTTTACACTTACAGTAAAGGCTAGAGATACAGGTCATTATTTGCCAGCAAACTTTAAAAATATCATTCTTATTTTTTCAATGACACATTTTCTGTCCTAAGACACATCAAAGGTGTATTTTCTATTGTATCATCCTTCCCGTTTACATTTTCTTTGAGTCAACAAAGTTGTTACTTTTGGCAATAATTTAAACAAACATATTTTATACATAGATACACATCGATAGGGGATGTTTAAAGTATCCATTTTTTTTTCAGCATTAATTCACCCATCACTGACTAGAGATCAAAAGGACATTTTTACTTTTGAAATTGACATGTAAATAAAATTTCTTTAGTTCTTCAAATTTTAAAAAATACTGATAAATTTTTTGTGATTTATTACTGTAAAATAATTTATTTTCCTTTCAACTACAAATTCAATGTGTGTGAATTAATTTATCTTTGACAAACATGTTTACTTGTCTCTGATGTCTTTTAGCTTTGCTTTTCCTCTCTGCCTGTTGAGTGAGGTTAGCAGCTAGAAGACACACCTTCATATTCTTTCTCCCTTTCTTTTTCATCACCTAGATCAGAAAATACAGAAGTAACTCCGAGGTTATGAACTTGTTCTGATCAAGGAAATAAACCACCATTAGCAATAATTGCCAAATATTATTGATGACCAAAAAAACATTTTTTTTAAAGGACAATTTTAGCTTGAAAAAAGCTAGATTTATGGGATTTGACATTTTGACTTTCATGAATTGAGGAAAAGGATGTGTGGGAAGCCCAATTTAGAAAATTTCAAGATATTTCAAAGAGATTTTGGGTTATTGCTGTTTTTTCAGAGCTTGAAAACTCCTGAAAAAACACTGTCAATTTTTGAAGATATTTCAAAGTTTCCAGGATCTGTATGAACTAATATATCATCTGTTTTTCTTATATTCTAATTTATTCCTTTTAGCTTAGAAGACTCATGGAGTGTTCATTATCATCATCCAGTTACACTACTTGCACCAATTCCTGTGACTCCATCACCATCCAATTCTATTGCTCATACTAATCGGCAGGTCAGAGGGATTACAGTTTATGTGTTGTGTCAAAAAAAATAAAGACATGTCAATATCCATTTGTTTTCTTTAATCAGAATAACTTTATATTTTTAAACCAAAGATGAGCAAATTTTATTTCAAAGATAGAATCTAATGAAGATTGCCTGAGAGTATAGGGACATGGAAGAAGACATTACCTGTAACTGGCCAAGTCAGGTTCACTGAGAAATTCTCGCAGCAACATTCCATCAGTCATATACTTGAGCACAGTCCTCTCAGATGTGCAGTCCTCAAACCTAATACTGTATCCAACCTAGAAAAAAAATAAAAGAAAGAATACTTGCTGCACATATATATATATATGTTTTCTAGCTTTAAATAAGGATTGCAAATGATTGATAAGCTGTAAAAAAAACAAAAAAACAAATCAATCAAAATTTAAAGGAAGAGGGGAGTCATGCAAAGGATTTTTCCACTGACACTATTTTCCTTATAACACCTCCTGCCACCATCTATACTTGGTGATGTAACCACATTTAGTGGTCTGATCCTCAGGATCTTAGAATGATGCTTTAACCACAGGGCTAATGCTGATGCTGGTCAAAGCTAGTTGTTGGTTGCTGGCTGCTTTGATCCACACCAACTGTGCCTAACGTTGTGTTCTTGACCTCTGAGCAGTAGAAGATCGAATGTTGTGATCACAGCGCTGGTTCAAGCCATGGTGGGTGCTATATTAAGGAAGAAAAATAACTTCACAACGAAAAAATGAAACAAAAGATTCATGGGGTTAATATTCAATTGGTTTATATTGCTCTTGGTACAACAAAAATTAACCCTTCCATCATCAATCTCTTTAGTGACACGCCTAATAATTTGGGTTCAAAGTTCTTTGGAATCAGGAGATCTGGTGGCAGCTGATGTGGATTCCAGAAGTACATGATATAGGGTTCTCAGCCCAAGTTTTTTAGCCCCCAAAGCCACTTGCATATATGCACTTTGACCCAAAACTGGTGTGGGGTCAAAGGGTTCTTGGGATTCATCGATTCTTTAATTTTCACATTAATTCTAATAATGGCTCTTTGTTCTCTATTTATGCTTTCTTAATCAACTTTCCAAATTTGGAGAATCATCCACCTTCTCGGAAATAGATTACAGGGATTGCTCTTCCCCTAACTCCCACCTGCTTCATTTCACATCTCACACCACCACTCCATACAGGCGGTACCATTTTCTCCTCCTTCCTCTTACTCTCCTAGCATTCAACCTCAGCCCACTTCCCATTTTTGTGACAAATCTAATTTTTAAAGCACGTAGACAAAAGTATGAAAAGTGTTTTATTCTAGTCATTAATTTTAATTCTCTGAATCTTTTCTATTTTCCTGGAATTATCTTTGTCCAGCGAATATATAAACCAGATCACCAAGGACAGAACTTGTTTTCATAATTCCAGCCTTAATCATACATATGACCTGTTAAGAGAAATTCGTTTTCATTTAACCTTCTCAGCGAGAGATAAAATTAGTCTTAGTCAACAAAAATATATTTGTTTGCTTAAATTCTCAAAGAAGAGATAAAATTGTTCTCCATCCATTCTGTTGTTAGTGAAAATACAAACATAATCACCTGCTTGTCACGACAGAATCGATTTTCATAACCTCGAACAGGTTTGTTGCCTTGTTTTTGTTTCTCAATTCGTTTACGTCAATGAAAATATATTTGTTTGCCTAAATTCTCAAAGAAGAGATAAAATTGTTCTCAAATCTGTTTTCATCCACATGCCAGACTCTCAATAGATAAGAAAAATAAACTTTAGGAGAGAAGAAATCCAGATGGTCCCATTTTCATCAAGGAAAATCTCGCTGCTCTATCTTTCAGTGTATATTCAATTTTGGGCTTAACCCTTTTCTGCTCAGAATCAACATTTAACCACCTCATGGCCTCAGTGTCACATCCTAACGTTGTTCTGGTATAGGAATAAATAAGTTTGCCTATTGTCCAGTTCACACTACTTTGACAGGAGTAGAAGTTTATCCCTTATTTTCTACTTAAGATTAGGTTTCCAGTTCCTTCTAGAGTTTTCTCATTCACTTTCACTCTCAGTAGCCCCTTGTGTCTTAGTAGCATTATCACCTTGCTTGAGGTGAACTGATTATATAATTGTTGCTGATTTTTTTAAAATATAGAATAATGAAAATTATTTCATGTGAAACAATTAAAATTATGACTAAATTTTTTAAATTTATGTTGAAAACTTTGAGATGAGAACTTATTATTATGCCTTACTATTCATATCAACATGTTCCATCTTGGTTGTTATACTCACATTTTCACTGTTATACCATCCAGCCTTCTTCACATGTCTTATTAAATGTTTTGCTATTTAGACCAGCATGCTTCATCTTGCTTACAATGTTTTTGCCATTCTACTCTAAAGCCTTCAGGTGTCTGTAGTAGTTATACTTGATAACCTTCTCAGAATTATGGACAGAACCCTTTATTTAATCCACAGGTAAATTGTTCTTATTCTGCTTTCCATACTTAGAGGCTATTTCATATCAATGCTCACCTTTGTGTTGCTTGTCTGTTCCTTCTACTGATCCAGGGTATATGTCTTTTCCACACTACCAGATTTAGATATAGAACTAACAACCAGATGCTTTAACCAATGCTTTAATCCACTCTGTGCTTCTTGTGTAGTTTTTGCTAGTGTAATTCAAGTAGTGGAACTGTATAAGTGTCATAACTATGGTGGTGGTGGGAATTTTCTTCAATGTCCTGACTTATAAATTCTTGGAGAAAATTTTTGAATTTTCATTTTCTTAACCAGAGGCTCTCAGATGGTATTTATCACTATGCTAGGCCTACTGAAGAGGTTTGTATACCAATGAGACTGTATTGGTAGTTCAAGACAAATTAGAATTGAACTCCTCTATAGGAGAGCATACAAGCATCTCAACCGATAACCTGATTGATATTCTTTGTGCAAACAACATACTCACAATTGAATTTTCACATATACTCACAGGGAGAAGGGTTAACTGTGGGGTTACCATTATCTTAAGTAATGGCAAAATTATATATGGAATACTTTGAAAAAACAAAAAAAAACCCAAAAAAACAAACAAAAAACGACTATAGAAACGTCATCATTAAAGCCAACATTGTAGCTTAGATATGCAGATAACACCCTTGTACTGTGGCTCCACCAAGAAGATGTGCAAATATTTCTGGACCAAGTGAACTCAATAAGACTTTACTTTTAACAATGGAAAATGAAGCAAAAGACAAACTGGTTTTCATAGATATACTTGTACAGAGTTTGGGTTCAAGACATTTGTATATTGTAAACCAACATTCATTGGTCAATATCTTTTTTATCATATATATGGAGTATATTTGAAAAGATTCAGAGGATCTAAACTCCATACAACAATCAGGACAGTATTCAAAAGCTAGTGAACTGTATGAAAAATAGCATTTATTAGCTTTGGACAACATTTTTTATTGAACAATAAAAAGTTTTCTACTGTGAATTCAGTCTATAATTTAAAAAAATAGAAAAAAAAAGAAAGAAAAAGTGTGCTTAGAATTTTTTTCAAAGATCTAATAAAACCCATGATATTCTGGCATATGTATCAGTAAGTGTGAGATGCTGGCCTCATGACTATTGGCTCAGAAAAAAAATTTGAATTTCAATTGAAACTGCTTATTTTATTTTTACCTGTAGTTACAATAGTAACTGTAACTGTCTCATGTAAAAAGCATCTGAACTAAGTCTACTTAAGTCAGATAAAGGTGTGTTAGATAATCATATGTCAATTATGTTTGGTTTTTAGTTGTAACTGATTTACTCAATTATGCATTGAACTGTCAATTAATAATGGATTACTCAGTTATCCAGCCTCATTATCAGGTTTTGTGTTTTTATTGAAGTGAAGAAGATATTGTGATAACAGCAATTCTTTGTTCAACGAAAATGATATTTTCTTTTTAGGTAATTTCAAATGACTGCTATCGAAATAAATTGCTCTCATCACAATATAGCTGCTCCATTATAAAGATAGTCTAAATAGTTCCTTTCCTTGGGTCTTGTTTTTCTGTGAAGATCAAAAACAATAAAGAAAAAAAATGGTTGTATGCAGATTTCCTATCAGGGAACTGTTTAATTAGAGCACTAAACTTAGGGATAACTTAACATGAAGTAAATGCTAACAAACTAATCTGGTTGACCATTACTACTGTGCTGGAGATTGATCCACATTGAGTACCCTATATTTATAGCCTTGTGTCTAACTAAGCTAAATTTAGTAAATTACAACACTAGACTCAGACAGTATATTTGCATTGTTTGGTATGTTTCTGACTGGACAACTAATTTTTGTGTAGACTTTTGGGAGAATTAAAAGAACATTCTATCCTGAAATGAAAACATTATTTTTATTTTTCAATTCTTTCACATATTTATGCTATGAATTTTCATTTTTTATCAATTCAATATGCTATAAAAACACTGAAATGCTGCTTGTTCACACTCACCTCATTTCCTAACTTGAAGCTCATCTCTTCAGCCACACGAGCAGCTACAGACATGGCAGCAACTCTCCTTGGCTGGGTGCAGCCAATCTTTAATTTATTTTTACAATATCCCTATGGAAAAACAAAAAGATAAACATTAGTTAGATTCTAATATAAACAGGATGCAATTGAGTGATGGAATTTTATTTTTAACACATTAATTTGAACACATTAAAAACCAGTTTTACGAATTTTCACTGGGCACTGTGAAATAACTAATGTTACCGTTTGTAATGTCACAAAGGAGAAAAGTTCAGTATTTCAATGCTTTCAATGTTTTAGGATCAATCAAAAATAAGTTAATTAGAATTTGATGTAAGTTTTTTTTATGCACTTTGTGATTTGAATTATAAAATACAGAAATCAAACATAAATGGACTGATGTGTTAAAAATGAATCAATTTATGTCTCCAATAAAGCCTTAATTTCATAATGACTTTAAAGTCAGTCTTAAATATAATTACCATTAACAAAGAGAGTCCTAACAATATGCAAAAATCACCAGAATTTATTGGTCCTTTGTCAGTGTGAGAATACAAAGCCCATGCAGATGCAACTTGTGCTTGATCTTAGAACCTTACTAGTTTTTTTTTTCTTATCCAATATAGTTATAATAATACACATTTCTGTCATGAGGAATTACCATTTTTATACACTGATTAATATGAAAAGGTATCCTTATTTTGGATATTATAGTCATATTTCAGATATTGTACTCTCCAACTTTCAGTAATATTCACAGAATTTCAAAATGAACACTTTATTCAATCCAAAAGTGTAAATTTCTCTTTCTGCTGTCCATGCTAGTGAACAGCTTGTATTGGTTAAGTCTCCTGTTAACTTGTCCTTGTGATGCTGTTTCTGTTGAAGCAAAGTATATGATTTCCACTGCTTAATGCAACAATTAAACTCACGATCACTAGGTAACAAATGCTAGTTTAGTGGATAAGCATACCAAACTAAGCTTAATAAATACCTATATGGCGCAGAAGTATGAGAGAGAGAGAGAGAGGTGGTAGATGCATTGAAAATATCCTTAACAAAATATAAACAAGAGAAAAAGAAACTCATATCTTAACACTACTTACTGTTTCATAAAGATATTGTGGAATCTGTGTTGTTTTTCCTGAACCTGTTTCTCCTTCAATAATAAGTACCTGATGATCTGCAACAGCTTGCATCAAGTCTTCTCGGAATGGATAAATTGGAAGAGATTTGCGTGTTTCGGCTATGGACATTTTCTTAATTTCAGCTTGAGAAAGAGTGGATTCAATGCCTTCTTCCTAGAATATGAAAGAACAGTTGAGTCAGAGCAATAAACTTTGAAGGATATTGACCAGCATCTCCATTCATAACTCATTCTTTAAAATAAAATAGCTTTTATTCAATGAATTTTCTGAAAACAAAACCAAATATTATCTGAGATTAACTTCTTTCTTTTTATTTTTTTACTGACAGTGATGTTTTGACTTAATTTATATCAGACTTTATAAAAAATAAAATCAAACTATCACAATGCAAATTAATTACAATTGAAATCAAAATATATAAAGAGAAAGGTGTAAGTCAGTTGTAACTAAAACTACAAAATAGTTATAATATTTTCTGAGACTTTGATAGCATTCTAATATTCATTAACTGTTTTGTACTATCTTCATCTTTGTTGTTTTATCTGTAAATTTAAGATGATTTTTTAATATTCAATGAATATTCAATGTTTTTGACTATTTTCACATTCACTAGTGTTTTTGTTTGAGTTGTTAATGTTCAAGGAATTGTTTGGATTCACTGAATATTAACATCTCATCTCCCAAAAAGGAAAAGAATTCCATGAATTTAAAAAATATATATATAATGAAGGGTATATTGAAAAAAAGAATTCATTTAAAATAAATAATAATATTTAGAAAAGAACTAATAAAAAAAATCTAAGTTTATAGTCTGTATAATTTAAGAAAAGTTTAATGTCTACAATTACCTTTTTCTCTTTTATTGAACCTGGCATCTTGAGTGCTTGCACAAATTCAATTTCATCATCCATTATGAAATCATAGGTCTTGGCATGGATAAAAATGAAAAAGAAATTTACTTATAGATGAACTTAATTTCAAACAGATGTTATGAGACTCTTATTCAGTTATCATTTAAAGAATTATTAGTACAATAGAGGCAAAGGTTAGAAAAAGAAAATAAGAAAACAAAAGACATGAAAAACTATTAATTTAACAAAATAGAAAGTAATTACTTATTTTTAAACCATTATTTAGTTAATAAACACAAACACAATCCTAGGTATGACAATAAACTACATCCTGCAGTTAGGGGATTGGAGGTTTTGAGGAGCATAGAACCACCTTTTAATTACTTTAATTACTGTCAACTCCAGGTTCACCTTGACCCAAGTCTGGTAGCACCTGTTAGGGGGCTCACAGCTTTGGGCAAATAGTGACCCCCCCAAAAAAAAATCAGCTGTACATTTTATAGCAAAATTACTAACAATACATTTTATAATAAAAATAACAATACATTTTTATCACCAATACATTTTTTAGTGAAATTACTTGTAACACATTTTAAAAAAAATTACCAATAATACATTTTATCATCTACAAACCATATATCTAAATTTTTTTACCCTGAAAATATAAAATTATGTACAAAATATCTATAGTTGAAGGCATAAAATTGTATTCAAAATATATAGAGCTGAAGCAAGGCGATCCATAACTCTACACGTGTTGACCTGTAAGCAACTGGGGGCAAACAGTTAACACGTAAAAGTTCATTGCTGGAATTGGATTAAGAAATTAATTCTTTTTAAAGAAATATTTACTTTTTATCTTTGGATTAACTTAAGTTTATTATTTAAGATATTGAAGTAAGTATAATATTTATTTATTTTATTTGAACTTGCATATTTAATATTTAAACAAACTTTTCAGTGCAAAATTCACAAGTGTCATCAAGAATTAACATTAATTTAAATTTAATATTTTTCTCTACGCTATTGTTTTTCAACAATGAACATATTAAGTATAAAATTAATTTTTCATGAATAATTTTACTTCAATAGAACAAACATGTATTTATTTTTAAAAAAGTATGTTGAATTTTTCTGTCCTTTATGAATAAATAGAAGACATTAATAAAAATGTAAGGTTTTTCACTGCAAAATTAATGAAAAATGATTCTTATTAAAAAAATTTATCACAAAGTTAATGTCAAAATTTAAATTCTGCCTTGTAAGAAAACAAAATTGAATGTAACTTTTTGCACTGCTAATTTCCCAAAATTACCATGAAAATTTTCACATTTGTAAAAATTTGAATAAAAATGTAATTTAACATTTTTTCTATGACACTATTCTTCATAAAAAACATTGATTTTAAAATAAATATTATTATTTAAAAAAAAATAAATAAAAAATGTATGTTGAATTTTACTAGCATTGTTGTTAAAAATGCAAAACATAATTAACCAGTTTAATATTTTAAAAAATACATACTGTAAAAATATTAAACTGAACTGGTTAATTTTGTTTAGATAATCATATTTTATGGGGGAGGAGGTGATCACTCTGCACCCCCTATACAGTTATCCAAAAAAAGCCATTTTTAGTTACATAAGGCTTATTAAAAACACTGTCAAAGTTTTGGAAAAAAAGATTGATTGTAAAATGTCTTTTTGAGTAAGAAAATATTCAATTTGTTAAGCTATTGAAACTAACTGATGTCGCAGATTACCCAAAACCTGTTGAACAACAAAATGTTTCCCATTGTTTAAAAGTTTTTTGCTATCAAACTGTAGCTGCCATTAAAACACATCCATTATTAAATGGAGAGGATACTGCAGAAACACTTAATTCCATTGAAAAATTTTTGGAAGATTATCAGTGTCAAAGAAATATATAGTGACACTAAGTAAAATGATTCACTGAAAAAATTGATATCAGATTTAGATGATGTACATCTGTTATTTCTTTCTATTAGGTTGGTGCAAAAATAATTTCGTTTTCTCACATATGTTACTATGTGAGAAAAACGAAATTATTTTTGCACCAACCTAATAATTCTGGAAAAATGACTAAAAGGAAGTAAATCAAGGAAAAAGAATGAAATCATTAACAAGAAATACTAGTTTAGCCACTAAGCATAAATGCAATGGCTTAATTGATGCTTGTATATATTTGCTAAGTAGTGGGTTTAATTTTGTTATGCTTGGTAAATTTACTACAGACTATTTGTAAAATTAAAACAAAGTTCTGGAAGTGCATATTTTATAAAAGTTCAAAATGTTATTGAAAAATTTCATATTGAAAATAAATCTACTTCTTAAATTAAATGTTGATGTCAAAGAATACAACTTTGATCCAGGCCATAATTGTTCAAGATGTGGACATTTGCTGAATGAAATGGGATGCCAACCATTGATAACTTACCAGACCTTGAAACTAGGATCCCTAAAGATATTTAATGTAACTTTTGTATATAGCTGGCTATTTTACAAGAAAAGATTGTCCCACAGATATTTAATAATATGAGTTTTTATTTTCAAGAATATGAACATTTTTGAAAGAAATTGTGTTAATTTAAAAATTTACCAGATATGTTTTATTTTCAATTTCCCCACTTTTTACATATATTTAATCGGTTAACTCCAAGTTATCTTGTTAATTAATTTTGTATTTTTGTTAATGTAATTGATTTTAATTTTTAAAACTATGTGCACTGGTAATATCTATTATTGTATCATAGCGAAATAAGTATTTTCTTCATCTTCTGTGAAACATGTACCTGTAACAAAAATCACACTAAATTTTGTAAAGATTATCAAAATTATTGTTTCTCTGAAATTAACATTTTTTATAAAGTATTTTCACACTTTGTTGATACACAATTTTGTAAAAGGCTGTAATTACTTTCTCATTGTATTATACAACTATATTTTCTGTACTCAATTGGCATAAACAAATTAACTCATTACTTTTGCATTATCATCTAAAAATGTCTAATTTATGATGACTAAACTGATTTTTGTGCATTTAGTCATTTTATGCTATTTTTGTTCTTTCTAAATACATTTACATTTATGGATATAAGTCAATAATGATAAGAAAATGCTTCCTAATATTATATATAGTTTCTAATTAACTAATTACTGGACATTACTGGCAAGTTCCTTGCTAAAAATGTTCTCAGTAATTGTTATTTACTAGTAATTTAGGTCTCCACATGTCCATCCCAAGTTGTGAACCCCAATTGCATGGTTGCCAGGCTTGGTATAAGGATCGCCTTGAGCTGAAGCCATAAAATTGTTTACAAAATAATTAAATTTTGGCATTAGAGGTTGATAGGCCACTAAACCAAATCAACAACACACACATTTTTAAAAATTTGTTGGTCTAAGCAATAATAAAAGCAAAAATTAATCCTTCATCAACTCACTTTGTCTTTGTTCTTTTCCTTGGCATCCTTTGCTCCAAATCTCATCATAGCAGCATGTAGATGTTCTTCTTCCCAACGTTTCTGTTCATGGTTAGGACCTTTTTCAGTTGGATCATCCACATAGCTCTCATTTGGTTTCTTTTTTTAAAAAAAAAAAAAAAAAAAGAAAAAAAAAAAAAAGCAAATAAAAATTGAACAACAATACAATCAAAGTGTATTAATGTGACTATAAAAATAAAGTTTAACCCTTGAGCCCTGACCACTGCTTTGCTGGTGGTAGGGAAAAATGACATAATACCCAGTCACTGGTTGAACAGTGGTAGAGAAAAATGACTTAATGCCCAGTCACCGGTTGAATGGTGGGTAAACAATTGTTACTATTTTTATATCTACCATGAAACATTATATACCAATTATTTGCTCAAAGGGTTAATCTCTCTGAATTCATTCACTAATCAACAAAGAAAGACAAGAAATGGTGGTTAATATCAACACATTTAACACTTTGGATAAGAAGTGTACAAACTATGAATGGTAATGACACTTCCCAACATGCCAGAAAGCATCAATTCATTCTCTTTCAGTTGATAAATTTAAACACTTACCACATCATCTCGTGGCATGTAATAACGATCTACATTTTCTATTTCTCTGGCAGCTCGGTGTTGTTGGGCATATTGCAATACTTTCTTCTTGTATTCAATCTCTGCCTTTTCTCTTTTTGTTAGACTGAAATTTTTAAAATATTTTGAAGTACAAGTCAATATTTGTCATCATTAAGAATTTTAAATTAAAAAAAAATAAAATAAAATAAAAAAATCACTTTTTAAAGAAAAAATTTATTTCTTGCAAGTTTTTAATTACTGAATTAAAAAAAATTATTTTTTAATTATTTATCTAACATCTTGGAAAAAATAAATTAAAACAAATATCCTTCTTTATTGATAAAACAACAATGCTTGTTTGTATTTTTATTCACTTAAGAAATGTCCAATTTCATTTGATGTTAACTTATGTGATCTTAAAACATTGTTTTTTATATCATTGGACATTTTTAAAGATTATTGATATCCTCATCTGATAGACACTGTAACATGAGGATTAACAAACTTGTCTTCTTGATGACTTTCATTATTGCAGTGAGGTAGAACTTCAATGAGTTTTCAACAACTGTGGCTTTGTGTCAGATTAAACAAATGATATCTATATCCTTAAATAATAACTTTATTGAAATATTTATCAAATTTAATTTCTGAAATCATGTTGATAATGAACATTGCTTAGCCAAGCAATCTGGCTGCTGTTGGTCTCTTGGATATCTCTGCTAAATTTAAATATCTTATAATATTTCTAAGGTTTTTCAGATTTTATCATGGTTGGTAAAATCTTCATTTGTGTGTATAAAATCCGTATGAATTTAGGCTTCTAATGTGCCATTTAATCAAAAATTTTGTTGGCATCAATAGATTGAATGCACCAATATAATACAATAGTTGAAATCAATTTACACATTAGAGGATCAAAATGATATCATGATTTTGATTGTTTATTTTTATTACAGAAAATAAAAAAAACCTTATGTTTATATTCAACATTGCTCATAAGAAAGAATGAGTTTATTAATTGCATTCATTTCTCAAAAAAGATATATGCAGGTAATCAATTCTCCAGTTATTATGAAAAGAAAATGGTTAACTGAATTGCTGAATGGGATCTTGGTTGCAACTCTCAATCCTAGATGTAATTTTTCTGTACATAACAAAAGGTCAGTATATATACAGTTGTTCATTGACTATGCATATATTTTACTAAAATTGATTACTTATATAAGTACATTTTATATTTTACTTACCAGCAGAGAATTCATGTCAGAAAAACTTAAGTAAACTTTATATTTCTGTATTTAAACCTCACAGAAAAATCATATTTATTCAACTTTTTCCATTTTTGTAGCAATTCTACAACTGCTTGCAGTTTTAGAATATTTAATCATTTTCTCACAAGTGTAAAATTTGGATTTAGTTTAGGACACTTCTTTTAAATTTTGAATTTTTAAAAAAGACTATATAAAAATATATTTATTCTAGTGCATATGGAAATGAGAATGACTAAAAAAGTTATTTCCTAACATAATATTTAAATAAAGGTATGAAATTTTTAATACAAAATATTTTTTTCAAAAAGCCATTTTCATCTTTCAAAGATTTTCTTGTGAATGAAATTTAACAGATGCTATGTCCAAGTGACATCTATTTTTTTTAAACATTTAATGACCTTTTTTTAAGAATTGAAAGTTTGTCTGAAAAAATAAACTTGAACAAATGTTACTTACTTTAAATCCCCAAAAAGATATTCTTCATCCTTAATTGCCATGTCCAATTCTTCCAGTTTATCATTTTGTCGCTTCTTTAAGTATTCTCTGCGAGATTTCTTACGCAGTTCTGGTACCATTTTCTGTTTGTCTTGAGTTTCCATCTGTAACCGTTTCTTGGCTTCTTCATAAGCCTGCACAAAAAAAAAAAAAAAAAAAAAAAAAAGAAGAAGTTACATACAACCTTTCTTATGTTAATAAAATGTCAAAAATGAAAAGCATATTGGAACAAGTTCCTTATAAAAGAAAAAAGTGAATTGTTGATGGGAACTTCAAGGAGTTATTTTATTAAATTATTGCAATTTAGGTATTATTGAAAGATTATTAAAATTGCCAAAAATGTAGTACATTAAACCTGTAAAACAATGTCATGGTGAAGTAAAGGATAGCAGCTCGGATTGAGGAACCGGAGGGCTGAGTTCAAATTCCAGTTGAATCCATTACATTCGCTTACATGCTAATACCCTTGGGAAGGTATAAATCGTCGTCTTCTCCTCCCAGCTATGGGTAAATGACAGGACAGACCAGGTTCTATAGCCTTGGATGGCAACTGGTCTACTGCAGAAAGAAATGGCAACCTACTGCGGGGAAAAAAAATCTTCCATCATTAGTCATGTATCGAAAGATACATGATCGCCTAAGCGTGTATCACGCATGGTACATAACTGACTGACTGACTAATAATTTTTAAAGGCAACTATCAAAATAGATTAAAAAAAAGTTAAGATCCTCAAAAAACCTGTAATACAACTGAATATTAAATTAAAGACATTTAACAAGCACAACTTTTCTGTTAAGGGAAATTTAAAGCAATAATTTAAACTGCTTTTTTTATTTCACTTCAATTATCATTCTCCAGTATTTACCCCAACATACAATTAAAATATGTAGACTAATGGTTAGCATAGCAAACCATTATTCACTACATTGAGTCAGAATAACTTAAATTTAGTAAAATACCTAAAGAGTGATGAGTTAGTGTGATGAGGTTGTGGAAAGTTGGAAAACTACAAGATGGGGCAATAGTTTGAGAAGTGTCTTAAGAGAGATAACTGGGTAGAATGCTATAAAATCCTAAAAGCTAGAGAAAGTACTAATTTAATTTTTTATTTTGTTTCTTTACAGGTCTTAAAAAACTCTACTATATAATTACAATAAGAATTAAATATATTCTACATCAAATGGCGCACAAGATAACTTGTATATCCCAGTGGAATACAAACAAATTACCAGATTGAGTAATGTTCATCTTCAGATTATCTAATAACAAAATGAGACTGAATTTGAGGAATAAATATTTTGAGAATTTAATTAACTTGAAAATTAAAGATGTAAATAATATTTCATTAAAAGTTCAATTATATTCAAATAAAATTTGGGAAAGATATGAATTTATTTCTCTCCCTAGTTATCGGTAAGTAGCGGTTGGGAATCTTTAGGTTTGTAAAGCAATCTATCTTAGGCATTTAATAATAGATTGAGTCAGAGGACCATTCTTAGCTATTGATACCATGCAACCCAGTACAATCTGTTACACATTACTTGCAGAGGCGATGGACATCACCAGGTAACACTAAAAGGATTTTTCTGGTTTTATAGATAAGTTAGCCAGTTAAGTGCCATACATGATAAATGCTTCGGTGATCATGTCACTTTCAATTGATGACTGATTAGGCAGAATATTTTCCAATAGTAGATTGCCATTTCTTTCTATGGTAGACTGATTGTTAACCAAGGCTATAGAACCCAGCCTGCCCTGTTATTCAATCCATAGCTGAGGGGAGAAAAATGGATTCATATCTTTCCAAACGGTATTTGCACATAATTTAATGTAATGAACTCAACTGAAATTCAAACTTACATAACACCACAACACATTTTATAGATATGCTTTCCTCAATATTAATTTTATTTATATATGCAAAAATATTTTCTGAAAGCAGTCATATTGAAAAAATGCTGCTTTCCAATCTGATAATAAATCCTATATTTTTAGTTGCATAAAATTATTTTCAGTATATGTTTCTTTATATACCAGTGTTAAAACTTTTCAAAGATGAATGAGAAAAATTTGTTTAAAAACTAAGTTTAAAAATTAAGTAATTTTCTCATTTATAAAAAGTGTAATAATTATGAAAAGGTGTTCTCTATATTGATACTTCTTCAGATGAAGAATTAACACAAGGATAAATGAAACAAAGACTTAACTATTTACTTAAAAAATAAATATTTTGAGGTAAACATATGAAAACATTGTTTCTAAGAATCTATATATAAAATTATTATTTACAAACTTAATGAAAACTAGAAAAATTCTAATTAATTTTGTGTCAATTTATCTTGTTACTCCAGTTTTCTTTACATATTTTTAGGATATTCAAAACATTGAAGAAAATAGTAAAGAAATATTTTTCTCATGATATAAAATAAATTATGTATAAAAATATCTATAAGGAAGAATAGAAAATAATCAAAAATTTAAGTAAATTTACTTGTAGGTGAGTGTGAGTTTATGATAAAGATGTGAGGGTAAACAATAGTTTAAGATGCATTGTTTTATGTAACTCTAGTATAATGTTCTGTGTATTTGTAATAAGTATTCCAAGTCTAATTTTCTTTTTTAAGAAAGCTCTATGTGTTTTACATTGAAAAGAATGGTGTTGATTGAATAATGTGTTTTAAGAAAGTAAAAGTGTACAAACCTTTCTGTCAGACTTTGACATGACATGTCGTGTTCTTTCTTTGTCTTTATCCCGAAGTCGTGTGGCAAAAGCATCTCTTTCTTCCAAATCTCTTAGTCTTTCCTTTTCTTCTTCATCCATATCATCTTCACTCTCACTATTGCTTAGATCACGGTCATCAGGTCTCTCCAAATTCCTGTCAGAGAAATAAATGAAAACAGAAGGTAAACTAATTGTTTTATTTTAAATTACTTTTCATAAGCTGGAAAAATCAAAATAAATATAGCAAGATCTAATTCAATTTAGAACATCTAACCCAATTTTACTTTTTTTTAAAAATTTCACCCAAACAAGGTGATAATGCCACTAAGATGCAATGGGTTACTGGGAGTGGAAGAGAATGAGAAGACTTTAATGAAGAGAAAGAGAAATAAGATAACAGGATTCATGAAGACAGAAGATGCGGATTGTTGCATTTAAATTTTTGAAGATTATAGGTTCCACGGAAGCAATAAATTGGAAGAGATTTCTACAGGTGAGAAGGGCAAGAAAAACTATTAGAATATAACTTACAGCTACATCTAGCTATTTTAACAGTAAAATGATGAGACCTAGTAGCCAATAGTATGCTTAAATTCATGTGGTTGAGATACCAAAGATTAGCGCTCATTAGAACTGCCTTGAAAATATTTATAGAAAAGATAGTGGGAAGCCATAGTGGTAGGAAAGTGATTGCCAGGTCAGGACTGATAAGTTACAACTGTTTCTCTCAGATTTTCCAATAATTTTTTCACTGGCTGATTTAGAAAATTATTAAAAATACTGTATCATTCCACCATTTCTTTGAACTAATATTCTGATTCTTGTTGTATCAGTATTCTCCAAACTTCTATACTGTCTGAAATTTTGAAATGAGCCATTATCTTTATTCCAGGACTTGTTCAAACTAATATTCTCATCTTTGTTGGTTTTATCTCTAGTTTCCTCAAGTTCAAGTATATTATTCATTAGTGGGAGGTGTTTCCCTAATCAATAATTATAGATTTGTTTGCTAAGATGCTGACAAGCAAGATGAATCCTTCCTTTTTGTTTAATTAGATTGAAAAAATTCAATTACATATCCTCAAAAGATGGTTAAAGAATGCATTGGTGAAAAGATATTGGTAAAATCAACAACATTTGAGAATATTCATCCAACTTGTGGAATGATAATTAATCTTAGAATTTTAAACAATATTTACCAAATCCTTCTTTGCTTTCTGAATAATTTTGAAGGAAATTCTTTTTTAAATTCAAAACAAAATTTTTTTCACAGAAATTCTTTGGAAGAAATCAAAAAAAAAAAAAAAAAAAAAAAATAGAACTTACACATCAGATTCACTGGAACTGCTTTCAGAAGATTGCTGCTTTTTTCGAAATTGGCGTTTCTTTTCCTTTTTGACTTTCTGGAAAAAGAAAATAGATTTGAGATGTTAAAACATTCTTCAATTGATGGTTTCCTGTTCATCAGTTATCAACATAGAGGAATATGGGACTGGGATGTGTGAGAATTTAATTGAATATGGGACAGGGATGTGTGAGAATTTAATTGAATATGGGACTGGAATGTGTGAGAATTTAATTGAATATGGGACTGGAATGTGTGAGAATTTAATTGAATATGGGACTGGAATGTGTGAGAATTTAATTGAATATGGGACAGGGATGTGTGAGAATTTAATTGAATATGGGACAGGGATGTGTGAGAATTTAATTGAATATGAGACAGGGATGTGTGAGAATTTAATTGAATATGGGACTGGGATGTGTGAGAATTTAATTGTGGAAACCTTTCTTAAAAATCAGTGAATTTTGAATTTCAATTGAGAACATAATCAGTAATGATTAATTATTTAAAACAAATGGCTTTCTCACCTTCATAGGAACTGGGTCATCCTCCTCATCATCATCAGAGACTAGTGTATAACTCTCATTTTTCCGAATAATTTCTTTAGCTGCAGCCTCAGCAAGTCTGCTTGCTTTGATTGGAGCCTGTTTATGAGGAACCTGTAAAATGGATTTGATTGTAATAAAATGATGGCAACCTATCAAAAAACAAGAACTACAAATACAAAATGTATTCAACAATAAATTTTCAAAATTAACATCAGTGGTTTTTTTCCTTCATGAGGTTTTAGAAAATTGAAAATTTTCAAACTTGACGAAAAAAAAAAAAATTGTCTAAATGTTTTTGTTATTCAGGAAAGACCAAAGTATTTTTTTAAATTTTAAAATTTTTTCCTTCTTTTAGAACATTCTAAATTTTTTTAAAAAACCTTGTTTTTCTTTGTATCACTGGAACTAGTAAAATAACATAAATTTTTTTTTTTTTTGTATGACAGACATTAATTTGGAAAATCTTGCAAAAATAAAAAATAATTGTTGGATGTTAATGAAACTTTCAGAAACTATCCACAAATGATGGAAATTATTATAAATATATTTTCTTTTTTAAAGTCCTGGCAAAAAATTTTTTTTTATATTTATTACCCACCACCCCCTTTAACTAATTTTATGAAAACTCTAGAAATTCAATCACATTCAGTTTAGTGATTATATTAGTTAAAAGCACAAGGCTTTGAGGAAATCAAATCATGTTTTTTTTTTTTTTTAATTGGACCCCTCCCCACTACATGAAAATCAGCTCTGAATTGTAACATACAAAACTCAAAGACATTATTTAATTTCAAATGCTTTTATTTGCTTTTATGAATATGGACAATATTTTCTGAAAGCAAAAAAATCTTTTTCAATGAAAAATGAATTTTGAATATGATTATTTGTCATTTCTTTAATTATAATAGATTTTTACATTTAAGTTGTTAAAATATTATAAATTAAATTAGTTAAAAGCTGCATCCACTTTCATAAGTGTCCTTATGAGATAGATTTTTTTTTTAGCATGTTGTAAATTGTATCATTTTGACTAATCAGAAGACCTGCAAGTAATTAAGAAATGTAATTTTGTGTTTATAATCGGGCTGTAATTATAAAGTATGGAAGACCAACCAGAATACAATTAAGTTGCGTTATTTGAGTTAAGCATTGTTCTTTGCTGTTAAGGCCTTTACTTTTTGTGAAACACATGTGGAGAAGTTAATTTGATTTTTCAATTTCAACTGAGAAGGGTATCTACAAGTATCAGTATCATCTTATGAAATTTATATGATCTTCTTTTTTTATATTAATCTGTTATGACATTTTTTCCATAAATGAAATATCAAAATTAATAATAAAATGAATGGAAATACAAATAACACAGTAAAATGTAATAAATGTACATAAAATTATAGTATTTTATGTACACTTCTGATAAAATTTCATAAGAAAGGTACCTATAAATTAATTAGATACCTTTCTTATGAAATTTAATCTCACTCTTAACAGTCTTATTTTAATTTCTTTATAATATATTTTCCATAAAGCATCATAAACGTAAAGGTGAAAGCTAAGTACAAAAAAAAAAAAAAAAATTAGAGCACTGAAAGTTTTCCTTAAAAATAACAAGGTAAATAATTTGTTCACTTAAATCTAAATAATTTCACTTCTCTCCTTCCAGTAGAATAAATTATCCTCATGTAATCCATCAATATGTCATTCATCACCTGTCAAGTGACACAAAATGTTTATGACCTGCTTTGTTTTATTTTCAAATTACATCTTTTTGGCACAGAAACTAAGTTAATGCTTGTTTCAAAATATTTTAAATAAACATTATAATTTCTGATTTTCTTAAAATAAGTTTTAAAAAAATTATAATTGATTTTTAAAAGAATTTCAAACTGAGATTTTCATTTTTTTTTATAAAATGGAAAAAAATGGTTGACCTGATTGATTATCTGTCAATTTTACTGACTAAAAAAAAAACAAGATTTTTAAAGATAATTTTGGATGTGCTAGGAACGATTAAAAAATGTAAAAAATACCCCAAAATACCCTGAAAAATACTTTGATCTTTCCTCTTATTAATAACATAAACATTTAGATGATAAAATTTTGTTTTCATCAAGTTTGGTGTTTTTTTCATCATGCTATGCTCTTTTTTTTAGCGATCTCATGGAGGTACCTAGTTTTAAACGGTTTATATAACCCATGATTTATAACATTTTTAATGATATGTCTCTTCAGGATGTTACACAATTGGCTCATCTACAGATTTTTTTTTATACAAATATGAATTGTCAGGACTTGGGAATGATAGTGGAATGCATTTTTTTTAAAGAGACTAAATTTTTGATATTCAGAATAACCCTTCACATTGACTTGGTTGCCACTCAAGATTAGAATACAGTACAACAATACCATTTAATCCATAAGGAGAGACAATATTTCACCATCCATCATGGTAAACGTGAAAGAGCATGAAGGAGTGATTTTGTCTTTTTTACTGGTTTTTAAACTCGGCTTGCTGAAAAACTTTCCATTTTGAAAAAAGGATTTTATTGCAAATTCCATAAATTAACAAAAATTTATAATATTCAATTTTACATAATAAAGAAATGCAATAAATATTTTGATCTTGAGAGATGAAATGAAAAATTTTTTTATTCTAAGAATCAAATTCATTTAATCTTTTGTGATGATTATCATTAAAAAAAAAATGGTTTTAAGATAAAAGTTTTTACCATTAAAATGATTAATGTTTTGTTTTTGAATTTGATCGATGATAAAATAAAGTTATCTATAGAAATATCAATGATTCATTCAGTTTAATTACCTTTCCCAGAATTTTCTGCTATAATTTTTTTCTAATTGGTTGATAGGTGTGAAAGGAAAAAAAACAAAAGGAAATCTTTCAACATAGTTTTTGAATAGGTTTTACCTGAGAAAATTTTTGTATAAATAAAAATTATTTTGGACTCATTTTCATTTACACAGCGTATTAACGTAGAAAAACAACAAAATCTTTTAAAATTACAATATTTTGACGAAAAACAATTTTTAGTTTTATGAAAGAAAACAAAATTTAAAATTTTATTTTACATTGTTTGTTTTTACAAATTGTTCCTGAAGGACCAACATGAGCCATGATTTAGATGGTTCAGAGTAAGTTATCAGTTTGGGGAAGAAAAAGGTTAAATCTAAACTTGAATCTTTTTCTAAAATTATAGTTTTTATCGAGGAAGCATCCTCTTGGAAGTTGGTTCAAAAAAGCGATTCTGGGAAGAAGCTGCTCAAAGTGCCTTAATCTCATTACAAAAAAAATGGATTTTTAAAACAACTGACTCATTTAAAAATCATTTTTGAAGGGAAGAAGAAAATTGAAAACCAATTTTTAAAACAATAAAACTATTTTATTTACCTTGTTCAAAATTCAAAAAAATTTTACAAAATGAAGTTCCAACATCAATCGTTCCAGTTTCTATCAAATAAAGAAAATTTATATTACTTTTTTTTAACAAATGGGTTAATTCTATCAAAAAACGTAATATACTTGTAACAATATTCCAGATTAATAAATGCAATTTTATCAAATTACCCATTAAATATAAAAGAGAATTTTTACTTTAAAAATATAAATGAAAATAAAAATAATTATTTATCGTGGCTTTCAATTTACAAATAAAGTGCCATTATAAAATAACTACAAAACTCCACAAACATTACAGAACTTATTATGTCATAATGAATAGACGTTTGAAGGTAAAAATTATAAATTTTTTTTAAAATTTTTTTTTTTTCATTGTTTTTTCTTAAAAAAATGCATAAGAAAATACCTTAAAAAAATAATAAAAATTTTATTATAAATTGTCATTTACATAAAAATAATATGAAAATTTCAAAAATAAGAATGTTTTAATAATTTACGTTTTTTAAAAATAATGCAATTTTATTTAGTTTTTAATCTAAAATATAATTAGAAAATGTTAATTTTTAAATAGGTTAATTTTTTGTTTTTATTGCAAATTTTTCGGCAAGAATGTTTTCTAGGGTGTTTGCTATGGTTTTCTCCATGAAATAGTAATGGAATTTTTTTAAATGACGGCAGTTCGTAACCTTTTTTTTTTTTTGGTGTATAACCTTTCTTTTCTCTATTTGTTTAACTCCTAAAAAAATAGCTCATTGTCTCTTCAAGGACTGTTTTTACAACTTTACAATAACAAGTGTTAGTTAAATGCAATCAAAGATGATTTCAAATTATTTTAAGAATGAATATTATTATTTGAATATTTGGGACATCAATCTTTGTACAAACAATTTTATTTAAAATTAATGTATTTATTTTCTGTTTTGTATTTTTGTAATTAGAAATATCATTTAATTATGGCAATTTCAAATTTAAGAGAAATTTTTTTTTTTTTAAAAAACCTTTTTTTAAATATATAATTTTTTAAATTATATATGTTCGAAATTTATTTCATCGTTTTAAAAATAAAAAAATTCTAAAAACCCTTTTCGTTTTAATTTTGACATTTTAATGAATAAAATTAAAATTTTAATTTTTTAATTTCACAGAATTTTTTTTTACAGCTTAATTTTTTAAAAATCAATTTTTTAATAAATATAGTTCTAAATAATAATATTTTAAATAAAAAACACCACCCAAGATGAATTTTTTCTTCATCTGAGTCACTAACAAAGCCCAGGATTAAGGAAAAATTTTTTGGGAATTTGGAAGGTGATAAAATATACAAAATATTATTATATCGTTTAAAAAAATATTTTACAGAAAATTATTATTATTATACACACTGATTGAATCTGCATAAAAATCGTTTTTGGTAAAATTTTTTTATAATTTTTTCTAGAGGAAAATTATGCAACCCAAAGTCCAAACACTAAAGAGATACTAGAACTAGAATAATTTTAAAATTTTTGTCATAAAATTTGGACATTTATAAGAAAAATTAATCAGTAATAATATGTGTTTTTGTTATAATTGGACATGGTTCAGTTCAATTTAAATTGATTTTTTATGGTCTCGACCACTTCAAATTCTTCTTATCCATTTTTAAAATGTTTTTGTAACCTAATTTTTAAAATACTCTTCCATTTCATCACTCAATTTGAAACAATGAATAACATGCTCTAAAATGCATATATACATATATATTTTTTTTTTATATATGAATATATTTATTTAAAAAAATTAAACATTTGATTAATTAATAAATAAATAAAATGTGATATTTTAAAAATTTCAATGTAGAAAGTAAACTAACAATTTAATTTTATTTTAGTACCTCAAAAAAAATGTTCAAAAAAAAAATAGTTTTGATGAAAAAGACGCCAACCTTGCCGAAAACAAAATTTTATTTTTGTCTAAAATGCTTATGTTATTATTAAGAGGAAAGACCAAGTTTTTTTAAATTTTTTAAAAATTTTTTTTTTTTCCTTTTTTAGAACATTCTAAATTTTGATTAAAAAACCTTGTTTTCTTTTGTATCAGCGGAACTAGTAAATAAAAGACAATTTTTAGCACGTTTTTTGGTATGACACATTAATTTGAAAAAATCTTGCAAAAAATATAAATAATTGTCGGATGTTAATGAAACTTTCAGGAACTATTCACAGATGATCGAAATTATTATAAATAAATTTTTTTTTTTTTTTTTTTTCATTAAAGTCTTGGCAGAAATATTTTTTTAAATAATTTTTACCCCCAAAAACTAGAAATTTATGAAAGTGATTAAATTCGAAAAGCAAGGTTTTGTTTGAGGAATGCAAATCATTGTTTTTTTTTTGTTTTTTTTTTGTTTGGACCCCCTACCTGAAAATCAGCTCTGAATTGTAACATACAAAACTCAATAAAACAAAGATATTATTTAATTTTAAATGCTTTTTATTTGCTTTTTTATGAATATGGACAATATTTTCTAAAAGCAAAAAAATTTTTCGATGAAAAATGAATTTTTAATACAATTATTTGTTATTTTTTTAATTATAATAGATTTTTAAATTTAAGTTGTTAAAATATTATAAAATTAGTTAAAAGCCACATTGGGTTTCCTAAGTCTCCTTATGAGATAGATCTTTTTTTAGCGCGTTGTAAATTGTATCATTTTGACTAATCAGAAGATCTGCAGTAATCAAAAAATGTGATTTTGTGTTTATAATCGGGCTGTAATTATAAAGTATGGAAGACCAATCAGAATACAATTGGGTTGCGTTATTTGAGTTAAGCATTGTTCTCCACTGTTAAGGCCTTTACTTTTGTGTTTGTGAAACACGTGTGGAGAAGTTAATTTGATTTTTCAATTTCAACTGAGAAGGGTACCTACAAGTATCAGTATCATCTTATGAAATTTATATGATCTTATTTTTTATATTAATCTCAGTTATGACATTTTTCCATAAAAATGAAATATCAAAATTAATAATAAAATGAATGGAAATACAAATAATAACAGTAAAAATAATAAATGTACATAAAAATTATAGTATTTTATGTACACTTCTGATAAAATTTCATAAAAAGGTACCTATAAATTAATTAGATACCTTTCTTATGAAATATAAAATTTAATGTCACTCTTAACAGTCTTATTTTAATTTCTTTAGAATATATTTTCCATAAAGCATCATAAACGTAAAGGTGAAAGCTAAGTAAAAAAAAAAAAAAAAATTAGTTGAAAGTTTTCCTTAAAAATAACAAGGTAAATAATTTGTTCACTTAAATGTAAATTATTTCACTTTTCTCCTTCCGTAGAACAAATTATCCTCACGGAATTCATCATGATGTCATTCATCACCTGTCAAGTGATGTGAAAGTTTATAACCTGCTTTGTTTTATTATCAAATTATATCTTTTCGGTGCAAAAGCTAAGTTAAGCTTGGTTCAAAATATTTTAAATAAACATTATAATTTCTGATTTTCTTAAAATAAGTTTTGAAAAAATGATAATTGATATTTAAAAGAATTTCAAAGTGAGATTTCCAGTTTGTTTATAAAATGGAAAAAAATGGTAAATTTTGCTGATTCAAAAAAATCAAGATTTTTAACGAAAATTTCGGATGTGCTAGGAACAATTAAAAAAAGAAAAAAAATACCCCAAAAATACTTTGATCTTTCCTCTTCAAAAAAACATAAACATTTAGACGATAAAATTTTGTTTTCGTCAAGTTTGGTGTCTTTTTCATCATGCTATACTCTCTTTTTTTTTTTTTTAGCGATCTCGTGGAGGTACCTAAGGTAAGAGCAGTGAAAAGGCTCTTAATTAAGCTTCTGCACGCAAAATGTTCCGCAGTGAATGTAGTTAAACAAGGCCAGTAATGGCTGACGGCTGAATGTGACTAAGTCTGAACTTTTATTATCGATAACTCCAAAACAGTAGTTTTATCAAAATTTAATTGTTATTTCGAGTTCAGCATGTACATTTACACGGAAATATGACGATTTGGGAAAATTTTAATAGATGTTTA